ACTCGTGTGGCATGATGTTGATCTGTTCAAAACACATAAACATATTATTTCACATAAATTATTATATTTATGTGCCATTCAGCACATATTAATAATAATAAATACAGTTTATGTTATTGGTGTATCGGTCACATGATGTAGACTAATCATCACTGGTCAGATGATTTCGACAAAATCATGTCGGTCGGTCGCCTTTACTTTCAAGGACCTTGTCTGGTGCCCGTTTTTGATGGGTCAACCTGGAAGCCAAGAACGTGTTTTTTTTTTTTAATCCTGCTTGATACTGCCTTCATCCCAAGACCTTTGGACAGCAGGCGTGTGCCCAGCCACCACACCATCGTGACTCCCTCATTATAATAACAAGACTTACTATTATTGCGCACTTAAACAAGGCTTAAGCCTCTTTAGTCGTTATTAAAGTTTTTAAATGGGATGAGCTCCCCCCGCCCCATGTTTTTTTTTTTTTTCAAGTCAGTGCTCCTGGCCTGTTCGTACTCTTCCCCTGCTTGCATGCTGTGACGCTCTCGGCCAGGCGGCAAGTCATTCTGCGGAGGGAGACCGAGCCACAGGTAATATAACCAAGTACATGAAGTCGATCCTCTCGACTTTATCCTTTTCTCCCCAGTACACTGACTTCTGTGTCTAGTTCTCTTCTCTGTGTGTTCTCTAGCCTGCCTTAACTTTGTTTGCCTGTGGGTTCTAGTGCAATTATATTCTAGTTATACTAGTGTCAAGTTCTCTAAACATGTGCCATCCTCCTTCCTTCCGTTCACCACCTCCAAGATTCACCGAGCCTGGCCGCCCGAAGGAGGTTACATCGGTAATCCAGACCCAACAGGTACCTGCCCGGCCTGAGTATTTTTTTTTTTTTGGCTCTTGTCGAAGAGCTTATGTAGCCATGTAAGTTTTGTTTGTGATCGACCCGGCCTTTATGGTCAAACCCAGAGCTATACTTTGATCTTAGCCCAAAGGCCGAGAGTGGCCGTTATCTGATGGATAGGCACTCTGATATTAGAACACCTCAGTATGGATTGTAGACCAACATGCTGTGTCCCAGATATGCCCTCAGACCTTTAGAGAAGTTACATTTTGGGCACATGTAACGGGTACACAAACCTCGTGTACCTGCTGTCTTGTGTAGTACTTATAAGTGATACTTATACCAGCAGAAGTAATGGTAATAGTAGCAGTATTATTAGCAGCAGCAGTGGTGGTAGTGGTAGTAATAGTACTAGTTGTAGAAGAAACAGTGATAATAGAAGTAGTATGCAGCAGTCCAAGTAGTAGTGTTTGTAGTAATAGCAGTAGCAGTAGTAATTGTAAAAGAACAAGTAGTAATAGTAATGGAATAACCAGTTGGTCGTACTAGTAGAGAAGAGCCACATTAAGAAACAAGATAAATAGAACGCGTTGGGGATCGATTGCTAAAAACCTTCATTATTCGGTGGTATCTGGTTGACTGATCCTGAGAAAAAAAAAGGAAACGAACTTAGAATGATAACACAGCCATTAGAATTAAGATCTTTTTAAGAGATCATTGGTCTGTTGGGCAAAGACCACATTACAAGTGTCGCAGTTCGTCTACCATGACTCATCGCATTGCCAACTTTGAATTTCTTATAACAATGCTTAAAAGACGGGAAATACAATGATACAGACGAGTATCAAGACCTGCTGGCTTTTCCAGAGTTCACCTACAGGTGCAGGCGCGCAACCACGGAGACAACAGGGGATGAATTCTCGGGTCCTCCCCTTCCTCTTCACAACATTTATGTTTACACAATTATGGGCCAGGGCTTAACCCTGGCAAATTATTATCATGATATACTTAATATAAAATGTATAGACAAATACTGTTACAGAAAATGTCTATGTGAGGATAAAGTGGGCAATTAGCAAAATAGATATATATATTAAAGATCCTTTTTCCACGCCTATATGTGTATTGGGAATATAGGGCTAGACCTATATTGTTTAACCAGTCGGTATTTGGTGGGTGATGTGGTCAGCATCACTCCGGCCGCCTTTACTTCCCAGGACTGCACATAGTACCCACTCAAGGCTGGGTCGATCTGGGAGCAAAGGTCATTTTTGAAAGGGAAAAAAAGTCCGGCTGCGTTAGGACGCGAACCTATGACCTTTCGATGCGTAGGCAAGCGTCTAGCCAACAATGTCACGGCGACTCCCGGGTCGTTTAGTACCTTTAAAAAATTTATGAGGGGGGGGGGGGGGGGGGGGAAAACAGGCAATCTCACTACCCAGAGACCAGTGGAAATTACTAGCAGTCCACGTGAACAGAAAAACATCACAGCCTTTACCGGGGCTTGAACCCGGGACCTCTAACATTCGAGGCGGACTCCAAACCTCGAGACCATGCAGCCGATTGCTGACAATAATTATTGATTGATGATTTGGCGCCACCATTAGTTGATGCAGAAGTGAAAGCATTGATGGAGGAATACACATCACCGGAAGATGCTGTTATGTTTACAGATGGTTCTGTGATTCGTGACAAGCGAAGTGCATGGACTTTCACAGCAACAACTAAAGGAAAAATCGCAAATACATGCTTGCTCAGCGACTCTATGAGTATGCTAAAGAAGATCAAAGCGTGGTACATACTGAAACAGTGGCTCCATCTGATTCAGCACGCAACAGTTTGGCAAAATCACGTTCATTTTGGTCCCAGGTCATGCTGGTGTGAAAGGCAATGAGAGAGCAGACGCTCTGGCTGGCAGTGCGGCTGTGAGGAATGGGCCCTCTGTGGACAGAAGAGACATCATCATCAATGTCACACGAGAGACTAAATGCTGTGAGGCTTTCAGTTTCGTGGAAAATGATTTGTCACCTATTAGACTGCATACCATGTGTGTATCAGTTGAAGTCGCGAGAAGAAAAACCATGCTGGGCCACCTGTCGTTACATCAGCAGAACAGAATGGAAGTTGTTAGCCTAAAAAAAACTTGGATACATACTCTCTATTAACTGTGAAATATTTGATGATGTTGATCATGAAAGCAGGGGAGGAAAGGAAGGAAGTAGGTTATGTAGAGTGAACTCCCCCTAATCAACCAATGGCGGATTCCCGCGACAAGTCAAACACTGACAGCGACAGAGATCGGTTAGTTGATTTTGGTTTTGTTATGTTATGACAATCGACGTAACTTCACATTGGGCATTTCCATGCTTGCTCAGTCCTCCGATGCAGCAGCCACTCCAAAGTACTTCTACTAATTGTTCCCATGAGAAGCTGGTTGTTTTGTCTCCTATCTCGGTGGTGGTAGGTAGTTTAAAATGCAATCGTTGTGATGTCTCGACGTTTTAGAAGATTATTATTACTTATTAGTATTACCCTAACATTATGCAAAGTGACATTACTGACATCTTCACAATGGGTCGCGTACTGGATCTGCAGCAAGCGCTATCTCTCCGCCTGTAAGTCTTTAACTTCCTTTGTTTTTGGTCGGTTCCTCCCTCCAGGCTGAGCTAAGGCGTCTGAGCCAGCTGCGTCACCGGCAGGGTTAGGTTGACATAACATACACTCACACATACTACAGGCGGTCCCTAAAATTATAGAAATCTCCGTCTGGATGGGCAAATCCTAGATATCAGATCATATCCCATTCAATCTCCAAAGAAATTATAGCTGGAGCGCTCATAGTCATAGGGGCCATACCGGGCTGTGTAAAGTGCAGTCTTGTGGTTTGCGTATAAGAAGGATGACAACTCTCATCCTGGTTGTCACTAGCATAGGTAGATTCCACTTGGAAAGTGAAACCCAATGGTACCTCCTTCAAACCTTTACGTTAATTTTAAGCTGAGATAATATTTAGCTACTTCAGTAAAATTTTTAAAATGCCCTCTACACCAACAAAACCAGCACAGTTAGATAGCTGTAAACAATTTCTTTCTAATGGTACCTCATTTAGGCTTGTATGTCATTTCTGAGCTGAGATATGTAGGTTTTTGTGGAGATGAGATGTAAGAAACAGCCGCTAAAACCTGTGACCCAGAAACAAGAAGTTTTTTTCTGCGCAACCTACTGCGCAGTTCTGTATTGGCTTTGTTTACATTGGACTGTCATTGGACAAGATGGCAGGCAATGAGCCACTGGCTGAGCCAGCGATTGCCTAAAAAATGTCACTGTACATCTACCTAGCCACCGTTCAGAAAGAAATTTTATACACAAATGTAAGATTGGACGGAGAATTCAATTATAACTAGCATTACCAGGACAAGTAACAGTTAAAGCCTAAAGCCAACCTCGAATTTACCGCTATTTTCAATCAAACTGATGACCAACAGAAAAACAGGACGTCCGGCTGTCGTAGACATGCGCTGTTAATCGGGTTCCCTCCCGCTGTTTTCAGCTATTTATAGCTGGTCCAAATTGCCACCAATGGCAAAATTTCATGAGAGATTTGGACCCATCCGGAAACCAGCCAAGATTTCCCAAAACAAGTTGCAAACAGTTTCCGGAAAACGGAAATTGCCGAAAAGACCGCCAATTGCCGAACACCGTAGTCGCTATAATATTGTTAATGCTAGTAGCAGCATCTTTGTCTTCCTGCCAGTGGTTTACAGACGAGAAGGCGACAGTCATGGAGTCTGTATTGTGGCATATCTTCCACTGTCCCATACAGCTTCGTGTCCATTAGAACGCCATCTTGAGTCTTTCTCCTGCATGTAGAGGCATTTGGGGTGTCTGTCAACATGTGCCTTTAAGGCAGCTTGTTCATTTGACTTTTACCCTGCCTACAAATAAATTGGTACCAGGTATAGTGTCGTGGGAAGTAAAAGTAGCTGGTATGATGATTGACCACACCGTCTGCTGAGTGCCGTTGGAATGTAAACATGTGGGTCTAGCATCATATGCCTGTTTTAACATGGTAATTGTCTTTCACTTGACTATTTTAATGGCCTCAAGGGTTTCCACATGATTTATATTTATTGCAGGAAATAGTTTGCCATAACAAGTCGAGAGCTGAAACAGACTCAGAATGGATCAATTCGACTCAGAAGATGATGATGATCTAATGTCTGCAGTAATGGAACTTGAAGCTGACATCATACCTCCACCTGCACAAGCCAACAACTCTAGCTCAGCCACCACTCACAGACAAGCTGAAATCATACCTCCACCTGCACGAGCCAACAGCTGTAGCTTAACCACCACTCACAGACAAGCTGAAATCATACCTCCACCTGCACGAGCCAACAGCTCTAGCTTAACCACCACTCACAGACAAGCTGAAATCATACCTCCACCTGCACGAGCCAACAGCTCTAGCTTAACCACCACTCACAGACAAGCTGAAATCATACCTCCACCTGCACGAGCCAACAGCTCTAGCTTAACCACCACTCACAGACAAGCTGAAATCATACCTCCACCTGCACGAGCCAACAGCTCTAGCTTAACCACCACTCACAGACAAGCTGAAATCATACCTCCACCTGCACGAGCCAACAGCTCTAGCTTAACCACCACTCACAGACAAGCTGAAATCATACCTCCACCTGCACGAGCCAACAGCTCTAGCTTAACCACCACTCACAGACAAGCTGAAATCATACCTCCACCTGCACGAGCCAACAGCTCTAGCTTAACCACCACTCACAGACAAGCTGAAATCATACCTCCACCTGCACGAGCCAACAGCTCTAGCTTAACCACCACTCACAGACAAGCTGAAATCATACCTCCACCTGCACGAGCCAACAGCTCTAGCTTAACCACCACTCACAGACAAGCTGAAATCATACCTCCACCTGCACGAGCCAACAGCTCTAGCTTAACCACCACTCACAGACAAGCTGACCTCATACCTCCACCTACACAGGCCAACAGCTCTAGCTCAGCCACCACTCACAGACAAGCTGATAGTGGTTTGTATTCTGTGTTCATTGTTTGTATAGTCAAGACAATTTATCATGTCCGTCTGCAGCATCTGTCTCATATACTATCATTGTTCATTGAAAGATAATTTTTATCGCACATCGAACATGACCATACGTGCTCCGATCACCTGAGTATGTCTCCAAGTTTCTTTAGGCTAACAGCTCCCGTTATATTCTGGTTGATATAACAACGGCTGGCTCCCGCATAGTTTTCCTGTCTCGCAGCTCAAACTGGTACACCCAGGGTAAGCATTCTATTCAGTGAAAAGTCATTTTCCACAAAACTGAAAGCCTCACAGAGTTTAGTCCTCGTATGGCATGGATGATGACTTTCCTGTCCATAGATGGCTTATACCTGATAGTCGCACTGCTGGCCAGGGTGTCTGCTCTATCATTGCCTTTCACACCAACATCCCCGTGACAAAAAAGAAAAGTCATTTTGCAAAACACTATGTGCTGTATCGGACAGAGCCACTGTTTCCATATTTGCCCTCCTGCCTTGATCTTCTTTAGCATGCTCATTGTCGCTAAGAAAGGATGCACTGGTGAATTCCTGAGTTAACAGCCATTCTAGGGCCTTTGTCACAGCCTGACCTCCATTGTCATGCTGCTTGTGGTAGAAGCAAAGGCTTCACTGTCTTCTTTGATGATTTTTTTCCTTTAGTTCTTGCTGTGAAAGCCCATGCACTTTGCTTCAAGTACTATCAATGATTTCTGATACAGATGCTTTACTAGTCCATGATACCAAACTGTGGCTGAAACAGTTCACTTGTCTCTTGTTGACTTCCTTCAGCAACTGTCTTTTCATTCCTTGTGTCTTTAGGATTGAGACGTGGATGGATGGGAAATGTTCCATTGGGGTTCAGCTTGACAGAACGGTTATGTGATGGCATATTATATGCAGACTGTATTTACACGTGTCTGTTTCACTTTGTTTTTGTGTGGAAACCTCAGCAGTCTTTCTCAGACATTAAATTTCACAAATGATGGCTTTTCTCAGGTTCACTACCACTTTTGTTTGTTAGTATTAGTTTATTTTATTAGTAACGGGTCATCACCACAGAAATCAAAGGAGATCAGGAAACTCATTACAATTTTAGACTGAAACAACTAGGAGACTACAGTCAGTTCTGAACAAATCCACCCCAATATGGATGTGAACCAAAGGCCTTTCTCCCTTCAGGTTCTGGTAGTGGTGGTGGTGGTGGTAGTGGGGCATGTTGTAAGTGTAGACTAATTAGAAGAATTTCCTTTAAAGTTGGAGTGAATCTGCCTGAGGGGTGAGGAACCAATAGCCTGCATACAAAACCAGATCTCTTAAAACGGATGTGCATTCAAAACAAGTTCTGGCACAAAACCAAAGTTCAGAAGTGGATGACCAGCCAGAATTTATGCCGGAGTTTACATTCGGAGAACGCAAGAAGAAGAATCTAAGACCTTCTGGCTGGTAGGTGAATACCTTGCCCTTACACTATAGTGGCTCCCAGATTAATTGCTGCTTAAAAAAAATATACAGTTGATATCTGAAAGTGCAAACAAATGTAAAAAAGAATCACTGTTAGAAAATTGCTGTTTATAACTATCTTCGTTTTTTCTTCATTTTTCAGAATTCAACACAAAACATACAATGCAGCAGTTGTGTGTTCCGGACTCCTTTCCATTTCCATTTACACCGTACAACATACAGACAGACTTCATGAAAAGCCTCTATACGTGTCTCCAGATGGGCAAGATTGGCATATTTGAGAGCCCCACAGGGACTGTATGTTGTTCATTTTATTCTAATGTTTTTGTGTAGTTTTATCATCATCATATGCTGTGCTAAAAGCTGTTATTTGTTGCCATTCACACAATCACCAAAATCATGGATCACATCATATTCTTGATTCCCCGTATGGGTTCCGGGGCCCTACTATGGGAAAAACAAGAATAGACCCACTGCCTACCCAAAAGCATGTCGTAAGAGTCGACTAATTGGGAGCTTCCTTCGAAGTCGGAGTGCATCTGCCTGAGAGGCAAGGAACCAACAGTCTGCATACAGATCTGTCAAACAGATGCACACAAAACACTCAGGTTCTGGAACAGGACTGCAGTCCAGAAGTGGACAAACAACCTGGACTTTCCGCCGGTGAACGAGAAGAAGAAGATATTCTTCCTATTCATTTAACTGCTAACTTTTTTCATTTCATGCTTACAAGTGATTATATGCCACCTTAAATGTAATTATTAATCCATTTTGCATTATCAGTTTATAATTAAATAAGTTGTGCATGATATGTATGTAAACATGTATGTGTGACATGTGTATGTGTAGGCACATTTGTGTAGGTATGAGTGTGTGTATCGGTAATTGTATAAGTTGTTGCATGTGTGTGTGTCTGCATGTATGTGTGACTGTGTCTATGGGTTTGTTTGTGTCTGTGTGTGAATGTGTCTCTGTTTGGGTGTGCCTGTTTGTTTGTGTTTGTATGTGTGTGTGTGTGCGCGCGTGAGTGTCTACATGTCTTCTGTGTGTGTGTGTGTATGTGGATTTCTCTGTGTGTGTATATGTCTGTGTGCATGTCTGTGTATGTTTTTCCTTTGTGTCTGCGTGTGTTTGTGGCTGTGGGTGTGTGTCTATGTATGTGTCTGTGTGTGTGGGTTTGTGTATGTGTCTGTATGTTCTGGGTGTAGTTCGTCTGTGTTTGTTGTGTCTGTGTGTGCCCTGTATGCATGTATGTGTGAGTGTCTGTGTCTCTATGTGTGTGTGTGAGTATATATATATATATATATATATATATGTGTCTGTGTGTGTATTTGTCTCTGTGTGTATCTCCGTGTGTTGGTTTTTCCTGGGTTTCTCTGCATGTGTGTGTGTGTCTCTGTGTGTTTTTTTTTTCTGGATGTGTCTAAATGTGTGTCTGCTTGTGTGAATCTGTGTGTAGCTTTGTGTGTGTGCATCTGCGTGTGTTTGTGCATTTGTGTCTGTGTCTTCATGTGTGTATCTGCATTTCTGCATGTGTATCTGAGTGTGTCTGTGTGTTGTGTGTGTCTGCAGGATTGTGTGTTGTGTGTGTCTGCAGGATTGTGTGTCTGTGTGTGTATGTGAGTTTTTGTCTGTGCATATGTGTGCGTGTTTGTGTGTGTGTTTCTGTGAGTATCTGTGTGTGCTAACAATGTGTGTAACTGTATTTGTGTGTGTGTGTGTGTGTGTGTGGAATGTGTATGTATGTATTTAAGTGTGTGTGTGTGAATGTATGTGGGTGTGTATATATATGTGCTTAAATGAGTGGGTTTTTGTATGTGTGTGTGTGTGCATGCTCTGGTGTTTGCATGCATTTTACCACCCATGCTTGTGTGTTTTTTCTTGATATTCACAATATGCATATTATCATATGAATATAACATGCTTTATTGATAAAATACAACTTCTGTGTGAAAGACGGGTGTTTGGAAGGGCCGATTGTAAGATCGGCCTGCGTGCGCAATTTTTGACCCTTTGAAAATAAAGTTTGTTCATTTGTTCCTCTGTCAGTGAACTTATTTCTGGAGGCCGGTAGCCTTTATGAAAGCTGTGGTGCAGTCCATATCTCCTCTGGCAACATACAGTTTTGTCTTCATTATGGTTGGAACAGGTGGCTGGATACATACACAAAACTCTCTCCTCAAGACTCGCTTCATCGCCTCGCTAGAGAGACAATGTATTATATTCAGACTAAGGACAGGGCATGACAGAACATGATTACAGATAGGTCAAGAGCTGGGCATCTGAGGAGAAGCATGTTACAAGTTATTACAGGCAATGGCAACAACAGTGGTCCTGAAATCAATTGTTCTAATTGTGGAAGACTTTTGTTAATGCGGGTCTTGCTAGTCACACTCACCATCACCGTGGGCTATGATTCCCATGCCTCCCAACAGTATAACAGTGTTGTCTGGAAGAACAGGTGCCAGTTACTTCATCAGTGTACTACCACAAGGGCCAAGGACACACTACAAGGATCCCTGACACTAAAGTCCTTGACACAGCTGGACTGTCTAATATTTACACCATTCTAAAACAATCACAACTTCACTGGTGCAGGTCATATAGTCCACATGCCTGATCACAAACTGCCAAAAAAGAATTTTATATGGTGAGCTACTTAAAGGAAAATGCTGTCATGGTCGACTGAAGAAACGTCTCAAGACCACAGAAAGGCTTCTGTATTGATCCTAAAATCTGGAAGTCTCTGCATGTGACTGCACATCCTCGCGCTGCTCTCTTCATCGAGGAGCTGTGGCTCATGAAGCTGCAAGAACTGCAGCAGCAATTCAGAAAAGACCAGACAGGAAAGACACTGAAGCAAATCACCAGAGAGATGCAGCTTCAATTCCCTGTTCACACTGCTCAAGAACTTTCAGTGCTAGAATTGGTTTTATCAGCCATCTGCGCACTCGCAAAACTTAATCCAGTCACTATTGGATGAAAGGACTGGTCATCATCACCTGTGATGGACGAACAACAACAAGAAATTGTGGGAAACAAATACATTGTTAGTGTTCTGTAGAGTGTTGAGACCAAATGTTAGATGTACAGACATATATATATATATATATAATTTGTTGACTGGAACATATGTCTTCTTTTCTCTAGTCCCAGCTCTGTCTTCCAATGTCAGATTGTGAAGAGGCATTTGATGCGAGCCCTGGTATGTGCTAGGTTGACACTAGTATTCATGGTCTCAGATGTTTCATCTACCCATCATTTGCTTGAGCGGCCTCTAGCTCTGCTTTCATTGTGTCTTAGTTTCAGGGCTGTCTGCTGTGCACAATTTTGTGGTTGTCTTGACACAATGTCTGAACCATCTGATCTGTGTCTGTTGATGTTGTTTAGCACTTGTTCACATCTTTATATTGTAGTAGAAGCCAGCCCCAACTTCTTCTAGCCATCTGTAATTGGCCATAGAGGATTTCCTAGGGACTCTACCATTCTCCGTTCTCTGGGTGTGACAGTCACCTGAACCTTCAGAGACAGCATTGAAACAAACTTCTTGGTCCAGTGATTGTTGTTTACTGTGGATCCCAGATGTGTAAAATGGTCAACTCTCTCCAGCTTTGCACCATCAGGGTAGACTGCAGGTCTGTCATTAACACCTTGCACCTTAATTTGTGTCTTCTTTTTTGCTGATTGGTAGTCCAAATTCCCAGCATGCAGAAACGCTTCTCAGTGGGTGGTAATTGTAGCATCATCTGCAAACGGCAGATCTCTGATAATTACCTTCCTTATCCTGGTCTTGGCTTTCAGTCTGTGAGTCTTGTAGAGGCTGCCATCAGATAGAGAATGGATGGGTATACCTCCCTGCTGAACTCGGGAAGCATGTTTCAAAATGAGTGAGAAGTATATTCAAAAGAGAGTAGGAGCACGTCCCTATCCCTGCTTCACTCCATCCTTCGATGTTAACCTTCAGAATTGATTGTGCCTTTCATAACTGTGTGGAATGACTCAGTAATGCTCATTCGAGTAGATGGATACGCAACAGGTGCCACCTGTTTCAGAACTAAAATTTATTGAAGGTCTTGAATAATTGTTATAATTGAACTGGACTCCTAGTTCAACCTAGCCAAAAATGGAACTGGCCTGCAACCTCAATTTTTGAAGCCTCAACACTTGACTACATGTGCAAACCTTCCTTCTTGTAGGGCAAATCATTGAGCCTCATCTGCGGAGCCTTGAAATGGCTGAGAGATTTTCAAGCCCAGCAGAAACAGGAGCTGGAGGAGCTTCTGAGCAAGACAAGGTTAGTAGCTCTGTAGTTTCTTCTGAAGGTTGGAGCTGGGTCTGACACAGCAAATCTGGGGAGGACAGTTAGCACACTGCTCAAATACTTTAATTTATGTATGTGCTGATAAAGGCTCCATAGCCACAATGTTCATGTTTGTTTGTGTTTGTTATATTGTTAAGCTCGCTGATCTACTTTTGGTTCAGTTTTATAATCTTTCCAAAAATTCTGGGCAGTATTGTAGAGACTATGTGTTGCTCATGCAGCATGATCCCACACTTGGCACCGGTATGTTTGCAGCAAAGTATGCTGCAGAATCTGCCAAATTAGAAGAGCTAGCAGAAGTGTAAATTACAGCAAAAGTAATTACCATAATTTTTTACAAAAATGTCAATACATTGTCATGTTGTAACAGTGAAATGAGCATGGGGCCTTTCAGAAAGCAATAGCAAGTTACTTAACATAAAAATTGCCTAGTAAAAATAAAAGAAGAGTCAAGAAACACTGGGACTTATTTGCAACACTCTACAAAGGATATGCAAATACCTTTTTTTTTACCAGGAAAAATCATGTTTATACTTACTGCATACTTTACTTATAACAAGGGATGATGTTGATGATGCTGATGATGTTGATGATGCTGATGATGTTGTTGATGTTGAGGATGCTGATGATGTTGATAATGTTGATGATGATGATGATGCTGATGAAGTTTAACTTGATTTTCCCAGCTCAGTAAATGCAAGTTCCACATCACCACCAGGACAGGAAGGTGAAAACATTCTTTGATTATGTATTTGATTTGAAAGAGTCATTGCTTGTATGTTTTTGTTTTGTTTTACTAATCAGTCTGTCAATTGGTTATTTAGTCAATCAGTTGGGGTGTTGATAGGTTAGTCGGTTGGTTAGCCAGTCAGTTAATTAGTCAACAGATACTGCACATTTACCAATTCAGTTCAGTCCAGTCCATATGTGGTTGGAACCCATCCTTAGTATCTCCTTCATGAGAAGGCTAACCAGGGCAAAAGACTGTTTGAAGAAGTCAGATCTTTTGGCAGTAGGCTCAAATATCACAGCCATTCTGTAAATTGGCACAGCACAATGGATGCTAAGGAGCTGTAAGGCCAATACTCCCTCCCATGGGTCCCGGCAACCCACACAGGAACCTCTTGCTAACTCCTTTAGCTCTATCCATGTTATTCCTTTATTCATTTATCTCTTTACATTGTGATAAAACACAGAAAATGAAATATTTTGGTCACCTGAAAAGTCACGAAAGTTTGAATTGAACAATAATGGGGGGTATATGCCTGAGCAGAGAGGAAGAAGAAGGTCAAAGAGAAGATGGTGCAGGATGTGGCGGATGATCTCCAGATGGGTGTATTGGAAGCAGGACATCTTGCTTGTGATCGAGAAGTTTTCCAGAGGATTGTTATGGGTGCAAGGTTCTGCAAAAGACATGCTACTGACTGACTGACATTGCGATTCCCCAGAACCGACCCTAGATGGTATAATTCACTACCACGTTTGCTAAAGTATTACTAGGGCCTACTAACTGCCATGCATATCATCAGAGGCCAGTCAAGAGGGTTCACAATAAACTAGTTTACTCATCATCATTGTTTTGTAGCAGGTCTTTCAGAACGCCACTGTCATCACAGTCTGCCAGATAGAAACCCAGTCTCTCACCAGACTGATAGAAAATCTGTCTCTCACCAGATCTCCCACCTCACATACTTGCCAACCCACTTATATCCTATGCCCATCTTCATGTTGGTCAGCCCCTGCCCCTCCTTCCTGGTACCATGTCTTCTGCTATCATTCTTTCCCGCCCACCGTGGTGCTTGATATGGCCAAAATATTTTATTTTCTGAGACAAGATGCTGTTTACCAGCCAGTCTTCCTTGATGTTCAGATCTTTTAGGCTGTCAGTTTTTCTTTTATTTCTTAGCTCACGACATTCTGAGATTCTTTCTATAGCATTTCAACTTAAAAGACCCTGTTTTCTGCCATAATGACTGTGAGATAGACTAGTTACCTCACAGCTACAGCTCACCAGTCATTCCAGCAAAGTCCTTCAAAGTGCATGCCATTAGTTGATTGCGCGCCTGTCCTTGACTGGGAGAACACAGGCAGTAGAAGAAGAGAACAACTTCATACATTGTTTTATCCTGTGGAACACACATCTCCTGTGTGTGCTACACATTAATTTCTGGTCCTGTTTTTTGTGCCATGTTATGAGAAGAAGGAAACTGAAACATGTTGTGACAACTGGAAAGATATGTGGGAAAAGAGACACAAGGCACTGAGATTCTTAGCAGCCATTTTGTCATGGCAAGGTTAGGGGTGTCAGCATACAAACTGATACAGGCTGTTAAAGATCCCAGATTGTAAAGAGGCATAGTCGCCAATGCCAGTTGACAATGCACTCGATGATGATGATAATGATGATGTTCTCTATGTCATTGTTGTCTTTTTTCTCCACAGAACTAGACTGGATTCAGGAGTTTGCGATTAAAAAAGAAAAGGAAGAAAAAGTGGCTAAACTTAAAGTAAGATTTGAATGCTACATATTTGAGCCAGCTGGCTGGTGTCTAGCCACCATGCTATCCCTGAAATATAAGACCCTCAGGGGAAAATGTTTTTTGATGTTTTGAACAAAACAAAATAGTAAATAATACTTATTATGTCTTTGGCACACATATATTTTTTCTGCCAGCTTCCTTTACTGCTTATGACTTTTCCAGTACCCATGTTAAGCCTGAGAGCCAGGGTCAGTTTGAAAAAGCACCTAGATTCATGGGTAGACTCCTGGAGGTCAAGGCATCGATGGGCAGACTTATCATGTCTTTAAGAGCCAGGGTCAGTTTGAAAAAGCACCTAGATTCATGGGTAGACTCCTGGAGGTCAAGGCATCGATGGGCAGACTTATCATGTCTTTGAGAGCCAGGGTCAGTTTGAAAAACCACATAGATTCATGGGTAGACTCCTGGAGGTTAAGGCATCGATGGGCAGACTTATCATGTCTTTGAGAGCCAGGGTCAGTTTGAAAAAGCACCTAGATTCATGGGTAGACTCCTGGAGGTCAAGGCATCGATGGGCAGACTTATCATGTCTTTGAGAGCCAGGGTCAGTTTGAAAAAGCACCTAGATTCATGGGTAAACTCCTGGAGGTCAAGGCATCGATGGGCAGACTTATCATGTCTTTGAGAGCCAGGGTCAGTTTGAAAAAGCACCTAGATTCATGGGTAGACTCCTGGAGGTCAAGGCATCGATGGGCAGACTTATCATGTCTTTGAGAGCCAGGGTCAGTTTGAAAAAGCACCTAGATTCATGGGTAGACTCCTGGAGGTCAAGGCATCGATGGGCAGACTTATCATGTCTTTGAGAGCCAGGGTCAGTTTGAAAAAGCACCTAGATTCATGGGTAGACTCCTGAAGGTCAAGGCATCGATGGGCAGACTTATCATGTCTTTGAGAGCCAGGGTCAGTTTGAAAAAGCACCTAGATTCATGGGTAGACTCCTGGAGGTCAAGGCATCGATGGGCAGACTTATCATGTCTTTGAGAGCCAGGGTCAGTTTGAAAACGCACCTAGATTCATGGGTAGACTCCTGGAGGTCAAGGCATCGATGGGCAGACTTATCATGTCTTTGAGAGCCAGGGTCAGTTTGAAAAAGCACCTAGATTCATGGGTAGACTCCTGAAGGTCTAGGCATCGATGGGCAGACTTATCATGTCTTTGAGAGCCAGGGTCAGTTTGAAAAAGCACCTAGATTCATGGGTAGACTCCTGGAGGTCAAGGCATCGATGGGCAGACTTATCATGTCTTTGAGAGCCAGGGTCAGTTTGAAAAAGCACCTAGATTCATGGGTAGACTCCTGGAGGTCAAGGTATCGATGGGCAGACTTATCATGTCTTTGAGAGCCAGGGTCAGTTTGAAAAAGCACCTAGATTCATGGGTAGACTCCTGGAGGTCAAGGCATCAATGGGCAGACTTATCATGTCTTTGAGAGCCAGGGTCAGTTTGAAAAAGCACCTAGATTCATGGGTAGACTCCTGGAGGTCAAGGCATCGATGGGCAGACTTATCATGAACACAAGAGACATTTGTTTGGGGAGACACATAAATGCATGTGTTGCACTGCATGGCACATGATTATGATGATTTGTTTGTCTGATTACCTGTTCCTTAGTTTCTCTATGCTAGTCTCTTCTTTCTCCATTATGTCTGTGTATATGTTTGTTTATTTTAAAATTATATGTTTAAAGTGTTTTATTATTATTATTCATTAGCTTAGAATGTTTTGGTTTTTTTAATATATCATTAAAAATTTTTTTTTAATGTTTATGTCAAGGCTTGATTACTAGGTACTTCTGAAATCAAGTCGTCTCCTTTGTTCTTTCTGAGAGAGAGAGCAGAGCTAGAGAGAAACGAATACACTCATTTCTTAAGGGTAACCAATTGAGTTTACTGGGCTTGGCTTACAATCGGCCCTTTCAAATAGTCATCTGACATTTTTCTTCCTCAGTATTTCCAGCTCTTGAGGTTCATTGCTGCAGTGATCATGCGCCTCCATTCTTCTTTCTGATTGGCCTCCTTTTTTTCATTTCTTGACTCTAAGTGTGTGTAGGTCTGTCTGTCTGTTACCTCTCTACCGTCTTCTTTGTCTGCCTAGTGGTCTACTCTTATTTATCTCTTCTGTAAGAGTAGTTTTTGTCTCTGTCATCTGCCGTTCTGTCTGATTGGCCCCAAACATTGCTGTCTATGAGCCCTGCATGAGACCACTCAATTAGTGGGGATTGAAACAGATTATGTATTTCATTGTTGCTCACCTCTCTCCATTCTCTGCTGTTTGATGGATCAAAGAATGTCTCATAACACCTTGTTCTTTAAAGTTTGTAATAAGGCTTCATCTCATTTAGTTGTACTGCAGGTTTCAGAGTCATATAGGGCAATTAGCCAAATCAGTGTTTTGAATATTGTGATCTTTGTGTTACGAGATGGAGCATTTGTATTTAGCAGATGTTGTAGGTCATAGTATACATTATTTTCCGATTGTATTCTAGACTGCATTTCTTCTCTTAGTAAGTTTGAGCAGTTAAAGTTTGTACTCAGAAACTTGTGAGTTTCTGTTCTTTTTATTTTTATACCTTTTTATTTTTTTTTTTTCATCTGTTTACCAATGGTTTTATGATGAAAAGGTGAAGGTCTTTGTGAATGCTATGGTTGGACACTGAGTTTCAGGAGTGCCTGGGATATCGCGGGTCAGAGGCGCTCAGAATGGGTAAAATGCATTCAAAAATTGTACTTAACTGCCCTCTCCTGGATCTATCAACCTGGTCATGTGGGCGTCAAGGGTAATGAGTGAATGGACCAACTGGCAAGCAATGCACCAACACATGTGGGCAGAAGCATGGACAGAGCAGATATCCTCAACGCTGTACGGATTGGGCTAGTGGATAATGACAAATCTCTGACACTAACACGATTGCTTGATATGGGGGTAAAGCATGGGCGTTTGTGCCGCCCTCAAAGCTGAGATAGGAGAGATAACCAACTTCTCATAGGAACAATTAGTAGAAGTTCCTTGTAGTGACTGCTGCATCAGAGGACTGAGCAAGCATGGGAATACCCAATGTGCAGTGACGTCGATTGTGATAATTTAACATAACAGAGATAAAACCCCGTACACATAGACAGGCTTGTGCAGGCACATACTACCTTGCATTCATACACCCCATTTAGGGGCGGGGGAATAGACTCCCTAAGAAGCATGTCGTAGACAGCAACTAATTAGGGATTTTTCCTCAGAAATCAGAGCACATTTGCCTGAATGGCAAGGAACCAACAGTCTGCATAAAGTAAGCCAGATCTGTATAATGGATGTGCATGCAGAATTTAAGTTCTGGAACAAGAATAAAACCAGAACTGTCCACCAGAACTACAGCTAGTGAAGGCTAAGAAGAAGATAAACGCATTACATATGTGCATACATATCCATGAACGAGAAAGAAAAACAGATAATGAAAAGTGTGAGAGAGAGAGCAGGATGAGAGAGAGAGCAGGATGAGAGAGAGACCAGTTGGTAGATTGATCTTTGTAATTGATATTGTTCACAGAACGAGCAGCAGCACATTGAGAAAAGGGAAGCCAAGTTAAAAGATCTACAAAACTCCAACCCTGTTACCAGAAAACGAAAGGCAGGTCTTGTTTCTAGCTTTTTCTGTTTCTGTTCCATTGTAGAGTGGATGCTGACATTATTTTATCAGTGTCTTCTTCTTCTCCTTCCTTTAACATCATCCATGCTAAGCATTCATTGCCATCTGAGTCACAAACAAGATGGTGCATCTAAGGTCGCCGCCAGTTCCCCGCAGCTACTTTTGTAATGTGGCTCTGTTAGGCCAGATGCACCACTTCTGCTGGAAGTTGTTAGGGCAGAAATGCAATACATGCTGATGAGTCCATCTGTCTGTGCTCCACAATCACAAGCAGCTGATTTGTTTATGCCTATCATGTGTAGATGTGCTCTCAGACCACAGTATCGTGTCTGAAGCCTAAACATTGTTTGTTTTTTCCTGTTGACCTGTATAAACATGAAGACTTTCTACGAACAGCTGCCTTATTGCATTATTTCCTGTATTTATCAGGAAGGAGGGGCAGGAGCCGACCGACACGAAGATGGGCTCAGGATATAAGTGACTCCTTGAGTATGAAAGTACATGAGGTGGGAGAGCTGGCGAGAGACCGAGTTTTTTTCAGGCAGACCGTGATGAGAGCGACGTTCTGCGAAGGGCCTGCTACATGATGAGTGATCACTTTTAGGATGATGTTGGAGTTGAGCCTGAGGATTTGCAGTCTTCATAAACTACAGGTTAAGATTATTTGAACTGAAAAAGTCTCAGTCCCTTACTAAGGATGAGTTCAGGTCAACTGCCTGAGACAAGCCGCTGTAACCAGTCAGCCATTCATTTCTCTTACCACAAACAGTGGTTATTTGAGGCTTCAGCATCTCTGCAGGCAAGTCGCCCCATGACTTCTCCTTTCCTATGCCAGTGTAAATAAGTCACACAGAATATCCTCCCCTGTCCAGTTTGAAAACTAATGAAAAACAGTCAAATTCTTACTACAGATAATCAGTAGAGAATCTTAACTCTTTGAGACCCAGGGGGTTTAGCATCACAGGCCCAGGGGGTAGTAAAGAACGTAATAAATCGGCAAATCATGCGTTCATTGGGCTTCTAGGTAGGAACCTATGAACGTATGATGCGTTTCTTGGGACTCAAAAGAGTTAAAAACAGAGATGAGATGTCTTAGAAAAGCGACTGGGGTATACAGTCATCTTTCAGTTAAGAGATGCAGATTATACTAGTTGCAGACTGTCATATGTTAATGTATAGCCACAAGTTATCTATACTAATGATAAACTTGAGTTCTACCCTTACTCTGTTTTAGCGCAAGTCCAAAGAGGACTTGCAGTTTGAGGATCTGATGTCAGGGGCCTCTGAGGATATCAAAAAGGCTTGCCAGGAGGAGCTGCAGGCTCTTGAAGCTGATCAGAACGGTGATGGAAGAGTTCAAGATGATGACGAAGAGCTTTTGATAGCAGACTATAAAAGTGATGACGAAAGTGACGCAAACAAGGAGGATACAAACAAGGAGGAGGAAAGTGAGGAGGAACATGTTACAAAAGTAAGGCTCAGATTTAATGTTGGATGTTGGAAATGTACTTACAAATAGATGTCTTGTCCTGTCCTGTTCAAATTCTGACCTAAACAATTGCAGGCACATCAACAGTCATCATAATTAACTAGGCATCTTGTAAACAGGTAACTGGTTAGTTGTGTATCCTTTACAGGATGTTGCAGAACCAACCCCAACATCCCCTGGCTGTTGTGTGGTTTTTCTAGGCAAATTTACGTCCAGTAGTTTGCCATTGCTTTCTGGGCGGTCAGCTTTCTTGAAACCACTGTTGAAACCAACGCAAGGCGCATGGCCCGCAGCTGGGATCGAAACCGGCATCCCGGCATTACGAAGAGTTTATATCGACTTAGCCACAGAGCCGACAAATAGGTAACTAGACAAGTGAAAAATTTGACATTTATGAGCAATTGAATCCAACTGGACGTGTGGTTTTTAAGACTTCTCAGGGCAAAAGGGTGAGAAGAAAACAGCATTAAGTCTAAGCACCAGCTAACAAATCAAAGTCAAAATTTTTAGAATGATAATTTTTTCCTTGGCAACATATGTATGCGAGTCATGGAATATCTGACAATAATTAAGGAAGAAAATGGGAGCTTTTGAGGTGAAACTCTTAGAATACCATGGACCGAGAATACAAGAAATATTGACACCCTAAAAAATCTGAACATCAAGGAAGAAGATTGGCTAGTACACAGCATCTTCAAAGCATCATAGGTAGAAGATGGAGGTGGCTTGGACATGTTTGCAGAATGCTTTATAACACTTTGGTAAGGCCAGCTCTCCAGTGGATGACATATGGGAAACAAAAAAGACACTTGAACGACCTCAGAAAACCTGAAGAGGGACAGTAGAAAGGGAAATGAAGGAGTTTAAAATGACATGGGATATCATCCGCAGACTACACAGCAGCAAAGATGGCACAAATATGGTACAGATAAAAAGATTCACTGGCATGTTTCAAGCAAACACCAGGGGTAAAATGAGTTCACAGTGTGTTTAAAATTGTATTTTACTTGTTTCTTTCCAGATTTATTACTGCAGTCGGACTCACTCCCAACTATCTCAGTTTGTAAGGGAGATAATAAAGAGTCCATTTGAAGATGTTAGAGTTATTTCACTTGCATCAAGACAGGTAGTTATAAAGAAGTTATTGTGATTGATATTTGAGAATCCTTTTATATTAAGTTGCTTACTTTTGTGTAGATATGGTGTTAATATAGAGTTGCTTATTGTTTTTTGGATTTGGAGACATTTGAAGCCTCATTTCCAGCCTAGCAAAACATGCTAACGTGCATACAGGTACAGGCGAATTCCTGTAATTATAAGGGCTGTTAAGGAATTTTAAAAAATAACACTGATCTGCTAAGCCTGCTATAGGAGGTGATAAGGAAGGCTTTGTGAACATGGTTATCAGTCATCATCAAACAATCTTCATGATTTGTTCCTCCAGGTTGGCCTTATCTTACATAGCTACCAGGAAATAACCTGGGACTTGAAGGTGGCTGGTGTTATATTAATTGTTTCACCGGTTGAGCGCCAACTGATGTATAAAAATAGGGGTCTTGCTGGTTGTGCAGACATGAGAAGCGTTCTTTGCTGTTGACTTCACTTTGATATTCTGACACATGGATTGAATGCATCTTTCTTTTTTCTTCTGTGTTCGCCTTTACACTGAAAAAAAAGGTGGGGGGGGGGGGGGGGGGGGGAGGTTAAGGGGGGTTGGTACATTGTGGTCTACTTTACAGCTAACCTGTGATATCCAGACCTTTCTGATCCAACACATCCAGTTGTGATATTTAGTTGCCACATAACATATTTTGACTCTTGGTGAACCATTGGAGGCTTTTGTAGGTTCTTTCAAAGTCTGTCTTCTGTATTTATCTCTGTCACCATTTCATTTCTTAGAAATAAGAGGAATGTTTAGACAGCCTGGTATCAGCAGCTCTAAGAAAGGAAAAAACATGTCAGTTTCCTGAGGATTGGTGAGCAGAGAATCACTAAACAGGCACTCACCAAACAGGCACTGAAATGGGAAATAAATGTATTGAGGAAATAAGAACAGTCAAGAGAAACCTTAAGACAAAAGTTGTTGACAGAGGCTAAAGATGCTGGACTGGATTCTGTCTGTGATATCGAAAGCATTGTACAGGATAGAACAGAATAGAGAACTAGGCTGTGAGTTATATGTAATGTGTAACAGCACAGCAAGGTGATGATGATGTTCTCAGTGCTGTGTCTCTTTTGTTTTCCTTTATTTCACAGGAGATAATAGGCAAGGAAACTAATCATACCGAATCATGATGTTATAATCCTGTATATATGAAGAACTTACACTGGATCTGACATAGAGGAAGAACTAACTAGAACTAACATATATATATGAAGAACTAATGTTAGATCTTTTCCTTCCGTTGTTATGATGAGTTTCTTGAGATGCATTTTTGTTCTTCATCGTTCACCTGAGTGAAGTAAATGCTCTGTATCTGTTTGCAGCATAGCTGTGATATTTACGCCTTTCAGTCTGTACATCCAACTCCTTCGAGTGTTCGTGTTCCAGTTTAGCCATCCTGATTAGTTTTGTGGAAAACTGAAAGTCAATATCATAGCCTTATTAGTGTGGTCTCTTCATCTTCCTCTGATTCATATTGTTGTCCTTAACAGCCATATACAGTTTGATTGGACCTCAAGGGAGGGGCAGGGGCTGAACAGTCATTCCCTGCCATTCAAGAAGGCTTCAGTACATGCAGAGCTGATACATGGCACATGGGTACTGGGCTCACCTAAGGAGTCGTGACGGCCCACACATGACTGCTTAAACTCACATGTGTATATTGAGCCCTCCACACCTTATGGCCTGCACCCATTAGGGATCCCCAGAAAGAAGGCCGCAGATCCAAGACAGATCCTCATCACAAAATAGGCAACTTCCTGAGCATTTTAGACTTACCAGTGGCACCTTTCTTATCGATGCTCCAGGGCACTTTGTATGGTGTTGATGCTAGGCCATACCATACAAGGCAAACAGCAAAAGAGGAGAGTGATATAGAGCAAGGGGTAGACCAAGATCAGGATAAAAAGATAACATCAGAGAAACTCTACAACAGCAGAATGTCTATGGTCGAGGCTGCCAGAAGAGCAAGAACCAAAACCTTATATCTCCCTCGACACACATAGTGCTGCAAGAGAAAGTGAAGAAGACGAATTGACAGTGTTAGTGTAATATAAATTATTGTCTTTGTCTGTATTGGTGCTGAACTCATTTGTCTGTCTGCTACTAGAACATGTGTATCAACCCGGCGGTGAGAAAACTGACCTCCCTGGCTCTCATCAACGACCGATGTCTTGAGCTGGAACAGAAGAAGAGTAAGTTCAGGGGAGAAAGATTGGGTTTGACATCTTCTCTAAACAGACATTGACTTCCTGTCTGTATGAACATTAGCTTGCTAACAGTTTAAACATTGAACTCCTGTGTGTATTTACATTGACTTCCTGTCTGTATAAACATTGACTTCCTGTCTGTATAAACATTCATTTTCTGTCTGTAAACATTGACTTCCTGTCTGTATAAACATTGATTTTCTGTCTGTGGTTCCTGATAATAACTGGATCACTGTGGAAGGTATGGTTCCTGGTAATAATTGGATCACCGTGGAAGGTGTGGTTCCTGGTAATAACTGGATCACCATGGCGGGTATCGTTCCTGGTAATAACTGGATACCGTGGAAGTTATCAGTCCTGGTAATAACTGGATCACTGTGAAAGGTATGGTTCCTGGTAATAACTGGATTACTTGGAAAGGTGTGGTTCCTGGTAATAACTTGATCACTTGGAAAGGTGTGGTTCATGGTAATAACCGGATCACTGTCAAAGGTATGGTTCCTAGTAATAACTTGATCACTTGGAAAGGTGTGGTTCCTGGTAATAACCGGATCACTGTCAAAGGTATGGTTCCTGGTAATAACTGGATCACTTGGAAAGGTGTGGTTCCTGGTAATAACCGGATCACTGTCAAAGGTATGGTTCCTGGTAATAACTTGATCACCATGGAAGATGTGGTTCCTGGTAATAACTCACCATGGAAGGTGTGGTTCCTGGTAATAACTGGATCACTGTGGAAGGAATGGTTCCTGGTAATAACTGGATCACTGTGGAAGGTATGGTTCCTGGTAATAACTGGATCACTGGAAGGAATGGTTCCTGGTAATAACTGGATCACTGTGGAAGGTATGGTTCCTGGTAATAACTGGATCACTTTGGAAGGAATGGTTCATGGTAATAACTGGATCACTGTGGAAGGTGTGATTCCTGGTAATAATTGGATAACTGTGGAAGGAATGGTTCCTGGTAATTACTGGATCACTGTGGAAGGTGTGGTTTCTGGACACAGAGGCATAGGATGACCAGTACAACAGTTGATTCAGAATATCTAGGGCACTCTGTGCAAGACAGTTCTCAAGAATGGAGAAACTGACTTGGGACCAAGTGGCTCTGCACCCTTCTGTGATAATAGCAGTGCTCTGCACAGAACCTGCTACATAACGATGGTGAATGTGGAATCTTATCAGAGGGCAACAAGTCAAAAAGGGTGAAGCCAGACAAGAGCACTTTGCAGGAAGCCAAGAAGAACAGTAAACCAACACAGAACTGGTCTTCAGTCACTACATACTGAGATGTATCTATGTACTTGTGCAGGTGTGCTGGGAAATGAAGACAGGCGGACAGAATAGCTAGTGCTGCACTACTGGGTGGTGAACTGATTTATGACAAGCTAGATGTGCTTAATGCCCTGTGGGAGGCACACTAGATTGATTACATTCATATACCATGGTTTGCAGAGAGTTTCCAAGGGTCTCAGTTGCTCTGCTCTCAGAAAAAAGGCAAGACAGACATTTAGACTGCTGTTGGTACCATTGGAACTCTTCACTGGCTGCTGAAGATGAGGACAGAGCGCATATAGGAATACAGAGTGCTGCAATGTCAGTTCATGATTCAACTTCGCTTTACTAAGTGGCAGCCCATCTGTCTCTAGCGTAGTTGGCTAAACCGGATTGCGCGGTGAGCGGGTGACGAACTCCTTGTGGTCCGGGTTCACTCCCGGGGGTAGGCAGAAAAGCCACATTTATCCCAGATTTACGGCATTTACAATGGAATCAAGGCCGAAAGGTTGCGATATCCATAATACCGAGCCTAAGGGTTAACAACTCATGGCTTCTGGATACTAAAACAAACAACTAAGTGGCTGACTGTATATTGAGGAAGATCTGTCAGCTGTCTTATTAACCTGACTTTGTGTCGATAAGGTTTAATATTTTACTCTTTAATGTGGCTGTGGAAACAGGCAAGAAGAGGCCGGGCTGTCCCTACCACAAGCAAGAACTAATCAACACATTGAAGAACAAAGCATTGGTGAGTCAGCCACATTAGATATTGTTACGAACACAGAAACAGTTCTGCACAAACACACTAAAACGATTTTGTACACAGTTACATTTGTGTATGTGTACTAATACAGGGCAGTCGCCATGGTGGAAGGTCGTAGGTTCGCTCCCTAGTAGAGCCGGACTTTTTAAAAAATGAACTTGGCTCCCAGGTCGACCCAGCCTTGAGTGGGTACCGGGTGCAGTCCTGGCGTGATGCTGACCACATCACCCATCTTGTGCTGATTGGTCTATAAAACATAGGTCTAGCCCTGTATGCCCTATACGCCTAAAGGTTTGGAAAAGGGTCCTTTACTTTACTTACTAATACAGGAGCAATTATTGTTGATGTCCACTAACAGTTCTATGTACATAGTAACACTTCTTGTATGTGCACAGTGACAGTTCTTCTATGTATGCAGTAACAGTTCTTGTTTGTAAACAGCAACAGTTCTATGTATGCAGTAACAGTTCTTGTATGTAAACAGCAACAGTTCTTCTATGTATACAGTAACAGTTCTTGTATGTAAACAGTAACAGTTCTTCTATGTATACAGTAACAGTTCTTGTTTGTAAACAGCAACAGTTCTTCTATGTATACAGTAACAGTTCTTGTATGTAAACAGTAACAGTCCTATGTATACAGTAACAGTTCTTGTATGTAAACAGCAACAGTTCTATGTATACAGTAACAGTTCTTGTATGTAAACAGTAACAGTTCTTCTATGTATACAGTAACAGTTCTTGTATGTAAACAGCAACAGTTCTATGTATACAGTAACAGTTCTTGTATGTAAACAGTAACAGTTCTTCTATGTATACAGTAACAGTTCTTGTATGTAAACAGCAACAGTTCTATGTATACAGTAACAGTTCTTGTATGTAAACAGCAACAGTTCTTCTATGTATACAGTAACAGTTCTTGTATGTAAACAGCAACAGTTCTTCTATGTATACAGTAACAGTTCTTGTCTGTAAACAGTAACAGTTCTTCTATGTATACAGTAACAGTTCTTGTATGTAAACAGTAACAGTTCTATGTATACAGTAACAGTTCTTGTATGTAAACAGCAACAGTTCTTCTATGTATATAGTAACAGTTCTTGTATGTAAACAGCAACAGTTCTTCTATGTATTCAGTAACAGTTCTTGTATGTAAACAGCAACAGTTCTTCTATGTATACAGTAACAGTTCTTGTTTGTAAACAGCAACAGTTCTATGTATACAGTAACAGTTCTTGTATGTAAACAGCAACAGTTCTATGTATACAGTAACAGTTCTTGAATGTAAACAGCAACAGTTCTTCTATGTGTGTCGTAACAATTCTTCTATGTGCACAACAAGAGTTCTTCTATGTACACAGTAACAGTTCTTTATGGTTTATACAATGGATTAACATCTTGACACAAAGGTAGTAACCAATAAGTGCTCATATTTTTAACATTTGCACATTTTTCCCACTTCTTTTTTGTTTACATAAACAATTCTTGCACATGCACAGTAACAATGTTTTGTTGTAACATTTCTTCCAGGGATGTTAGGTAGAGACTTTAAAGCTTGCCTTTCTTACAAATCTAATGTCTGTTTAATGTTACAATTGATACAGAAATTAAGGCTCTTCCTCACTGCAAATCTAATGACTATAACTTTATACCCGGTGATGTGAGGTAGAAACAAATATTGTACTTGATTGTAAATTTAGTGACTATTACTTTACAGCTGATGATGTGAGGTAGAGACAATGATTGTACTTATTGTAAATCTGATGTTAAACTTTACAGCTGGTGATGTGTGGTAGAGACAATGATTGTACTTACTGCAAATCTAATGATTATAACTTTACACCTGAGATGTTTGGTAGAGACAGTGATTGTACTTACTGCAAATCTATTGATTATAACTTTACAACTGGTGATATGTGGTAGAAACAATGATTGTACTTACTGCAAATCTATTGATTATAACTTTACACCTGGTTATATGTGGTAGAAACAATGATTGTACTTACTGCAAATCTATTGATTATAACTTTACACCTGGTGATGTGTGGTAGAGACAATGATAGTACTTACTGCAAATCTATTGATTATAACTTTACAACTGGTGATATGTGGTAGAAACAATGATTGTACTTACTGCAAATCTATTGATTATAACTTTAAAGCTGGTGATGTGTGGTAGAGACAATTATTGTACTTACTGCAAATCTAATGATTATAACTTTACACCTGGTGATGTGAGGTAGAAACAAATATTGTACTTGCGATTGCACTACTAGGGAAGGTCAATAAATAAATCACAAATGGTTGTGAGATAGTAGAATGTTGTAGTTGGTGGTTTCTAAAGGTGTCATTAAGTGACAGCAATATCGAACTTTATGTCTCCGCTCATAAGTTGGCGCTAGGTGTTGCATGCGCATTTGCATCACAGAAACAAAATGGTGACTGTACTTATGGAGTGTACCCTCAAAGAACAACAGACTGTTGTGGTTTTGGTGGGGTGGGGGAGCAAAAGGGCTGCCTGCAAAGGACATTTATAAGGAAATGCTTCCTGTTTATGCTGACAAATGTTTATCCTTTAAAGCGGTGCATAACTGGGTAAAAATAATTCTCAGTGGCGCTCTAAAATTGTTGATGAAGTTTGATCTGGTCATCTTGTTGAGATTGCAACAGACGCATCCATGCAGAAGGTGGAGGAGATGATTAGAGGTGAAGGGCGAGTAACGGTTGACTCTGTAGCAACTGCGGTTTCAAAAAAAAAAAAAAGGTGACAATGTGAATACTGATTGATACTGTAAAGTTCTGTCGATGCTTCATGATGCAATTCGAAGAAAACTTCCAGGCCTGCTGACTAGAGGATTACTGCTCCTTCATGACAATGCCAGACTACAGTGGGAGACATTTCTTGAATGATGCATAAGTTGAATATGAAGTGAAAATGTGGTTTAGAAAACAGAGCATGCTGTTTTATGCAACAGATATGGGAGGACAGATAAAACATTGGGACAAGTGCATCAGTGTTGGTGGGATTAATGTTGAAAAATAAAGGGACAGTGTATGTGTAAAAATTAATGGTTTTCAAGTTGTTATCGTCTTTATTTGTTTTTAAACAACCATTTGTCATTAACTTATTAACTTCCTCTCGTATTTATTGTTAATCTAATGACTGTGTTTAACTTTACAACTGGTAATGCAAGGTAGAGACAATAATTTTAATTTATGTAAATGTAGTGACAATTGAACTTTACAGCAATAATTGTACATATTATAAATGTAATGACTGTTCAACTTTACAGCTGGAAGTAACTGACATTGAGCAGCTAGTGACATCTGGCAGAGAAATAAAGGCCTGCCCCTACTATGCCGCTAGATATGCTATACCTTTGGCCGAGGTGAGGTTTCTATATATCTAGTACCTATTAACCCTTTCTGGATTATGTGGCTAAAATTTTCTATGGAATGGGAAGCCAGTTTTATGCCACCCATCCGAGTATTTTGTAATATTTTTGATAGGTTACAGTTACTAATGTGTAGTTCCCTTTTGAGCACAAGTAACATATGGGCGGTGGTATAGGACATAAGATTCTTTCACAAAATCATCATCATCATCTTGCAGCTCAGAATATTATCTATACACACTGTAAGTAAAACAGAGTATGTCATTTATACATACTAAGTAAAACAGAGTATGTTGTTTACACACAATGTACGTAAAATACAGTATGTCGTTTATACACACTAAGTAAAATAGAGTATGTCATTTATGCAAACTGTAAGTAAAAGACAGTATGTCGTTTATATACACTGTAAGTAAAACAGAATGTCATTTATACACACTTAGTAAAACAGTATGTCATCTATACACCCTGTAAGTAAAACAGAATGACATTTATACACACTGTAAGTAAAACAGAATGACATTTATACACACTGTAAGTAAAACAGTATTACATTTATACACACTGTAAGTAAAACAGAATGTCATTTTTATACACTGTAAGTAAAACAGTATGTCATTTATACACACTGTAAGTAAAACAGTATGACATTTATACACACTGTAAGTTAAACAGTATGACATTTATACACACTAAGTAAAACAGTATGTCATTTATACACACTGTAAGTAAAACAGTTTGACATTTATACACACTGTAAGTAAAACAGTATGTCATTTATACACACTGTAAGTAAAACAGTTTGACATTTATACACACTGTAAGTAAAACAGTATGTCATTTATACACGCTGTAAGTAAAACAGTATGTCATTTATACACGCTGTAAGTAAAGCAGTATGTCATTTATACACACTGTAAGTAAAGCAGTATGTCATTTATACACGCTGTAAGTAAAACAGTATGTCATTTATACACGCTGTAAGTAAAACAGTATGTCATTTATACACGCTGTAAGTAAAGCAGTATGTCATTTATACACACTGTAAGTAAAACAGTATGACATTTATACACACTGTAAGTAAAACAGTTTGACATTTATACACACTGTAAGTAAAACAGTATGTCATTTATACACACTGTAAGTAAAACAGTATGTCATTTATACACACTGTAAGTAAAACAGTATGACATTTATACACACTGTAAGTAAAACTGTGTGTCATTTATACACACTGTAAGTAAAACAGAATGTCATTTTTACACACTGTAAGTAAAACAGTATGTCATTTATATACAGTGTAAGTAAAACAGTATGTCATTTATACACACTGTAAGTAAAACAGTATGACATTTATACACACTAAGTAAAACAGTATGTCATTTATACACACTGTAAGTAAAACAGTATATCATTTATACACACTGTAAGTAAAACAGTATGTCATTTATACACACTGTAAGTAAAACAGTATGTCATTTATACACACTGTAAGTAAAACAGTATGTCATTTATACACACTGTAAGTAAAACAGTATGTCATTTATACACACTGTAAGTAAAGCAGTGCTTCCATTGTTTACGCTCACCTGCAGACTGGAACTTCATGGGTTCGCCTACTGATGGAGTCAGACTTTTTTTTCTCAAAAAATGACCTTGACTCCCAGTTTGACCCAGCCTTGAGTGTGTACCAGGTGCAGTCCTGGGAAGTAAAGGTGGCTGAAATGATGCTGTCCACTTCACCCGCCATGTGCCGATTGGTCTATAAAATATAGGTCTAGCCATAATTGCCCAAAACGCTAAAGGCCTGGAAAAGGGTCCTTTAGTTTACATACTTCCATTTGTTCGATCCCCAGCTGCAGTCCATTTGACAGCAGGACCCCCTGCATTTATTTTGATAGTGTTATCGAGAGACGACCATGCAGAAAGCAATGATCATATGGCATTGGTAGTGATGTTTATCCACAGCCTTCTGTCCCATGTACTTTTAATCACTTCTGACACAGATGGTCATCCATACCATGATATCAAACTGTCCAGCGCCTTCTGTCAAACCACTGTATGTAAAATTGCCTAATAAAACCACAAACAGTTACAAATTCTGGAAGTAGTTCTGCAGCATCATGTAAAGGATAAACAACTAACTCAACTTCTGTTGTATTGCTTGTGGTTGCTGAGAAAATTCTGCTAGCTTATTTATCAGTTCTGCCACAAAAACCTGCTGACTCCATAGCGAGCCATTACTCTCCATAATACTACACTGTCATAGTATCTGTCTTTTTCTTCCTTTCCTCCTCCTCCAACTGTTTGTTCGTGTCTTTTTTTTTTCTCCATCTCTGTCATACTCAGATTGTCTAGAACAGTGTTTCCCAACTTGTTTGTGTGCCATGCCCCGCCTAAGCCTTTCTAAAATTCTTATTCCCCTTATGTAACTAAAAATCTGGATGACTCCATTTTTGAATGTTCACATTTAATTCTAAACAATGGTTTACAGTTATTGTTTCCTGAAAAATCTGACTATTATATGTTAATTGTTTCATTTAACCAGATCGTGGCTCTACCATACAATACACTGCTGCACCGGCAGACGCGAGCAGCCTGTGGAATCAAACTAGCAGGCAGCATAGTCATCATAGATGAGGCTCACAATCTCCTAGAAACGATCAACAGTATCCACAGTGTGGAGATCACGGCAGCTCAGGTTGATGGCTGTTGACTGTTTGCATATTTGTGTTTCTTTGATTTGCTTCTTCAGCTCTGTCACCAAAGATGTTAGTGACTTCTTCTTGTTCACTTCCTCTTTGTTGAGGAAAATACAAGATTCTTCTTCTTGCTCTTCTGGCTACCTCAACTGTAGACACTGTTGCTGTTGTAGAGTTTCTTTGTTATCTTTCCGTGCTGTTCTTGGTTACCTCATGCTCTACATCCTTCTCCTCTTTAAGTGTATGCCCGTCGTGGTATCACATCACAAGGCATTCCCTCTCAAATGCTGTCTTTGCTTGTAATTAGAATTGCTTCTGTACCGAATTTGTCTCTTATGACCTCATTCCTGGTTTTATCTCTTCTGGTAATTCATACAGCCTTTCTCGGGTCCAGAGTTAATAATTTTCATGTTTGATTTTTTGTGAGTGACCATGTTTGGCACTGGTAACATAGGGTGGGAATGATTATGCTTTTTTATGAAATGATTCTTTTAGCCGATAAGGATTGTCTTATGCTCTATTTTTTCAGTAGTGCCATCTTCTCTGTCCTGTTAATGTAGATACTTGGTTGCCCAACATTTCTCTTTCTACTTCACTCCTTTTGAATTTATCACATTTTATTTTCATTGTTTTTTCTCAGACTTTAGTTTTCGAATTCATTTAAGTTTCATTTCATGTCATTAGTGGTTCTCCGACGTTCACTTGCAAATGATAAAATAAAGCTATGTTGAATATTAATTCCTCGAGGACTGAGAATGTCACAACTAAACGATTTTCTAATGAGTAGCGTCTGGTTCGATCACCGGAACAAGATTTAATAGCAGTGACTGAGATGTCGTTTTCGCCTTGGTGGTCAGAGCTGCTGAAATGGAGAGAGACAGGTTTTAGAGCCTTATTATGAATGTCAGCAAAATGTTCACGGAAACGATCTGCTAGCCTCCTGTGGGTTTCCCCAATATATGGCACATTTTATTTTATATTTAGCATTTCTTGCAGTCAGCTAGTCTGCGGTCACCCCCTATTTACGTCATCACTCAGAGGAAAGGCGAGATGGTCATATAATCAAACTGCTACTGGTACCATTGGCATCATAACTCTTTGTATTTGTGTGTGTGTGTGTTTGACTGCGTGTGTGTCTATGTGGCTGTATGTATGTGTCTGCATGTTTGTCTGCGTATGTGTGGTGTGTGTGTCAGTGTGTGAGCACGAATGTAAATATGTGTGCTGTGTGTTCCCCTGTGTGTGTTTATATGTAAGTGTCTGTGTGTGTGTCTGTATTTTTGTCTGAGTGTGTGTGTGTCTCTGTGGGAGTGTCCGTGTGTGCATGTGTGTGTCTCCATTCATGACTGTATTTATGACTGTATGCGTGTATGCCTGTATTACGTATGAATGTATGTTTGTATCTATGTATGTATGTTTGTGTGTATGTATGCCTGTGTGTATGTGTGTATGCATGTTTGTTTGTATGTATCTGTGTATGTATGTAATGTATGCATGCATGTTTGCGTGTGTAAGTGAGTGGGTGAGCGCGTGTATGTGGGTGTATGTATGCACGCGCGGGTTTTTGCATGCACTTTACAACTCATGCTTTTGTGTTCTTTTATAATATTCATAATATGCATATCATCATATGATCATAACATGCTTTATTAGTAAAATACAACTGCTGTGCGAAAGATGGTTGACTGGAAGTGCCGAATGTAAGACGGGCCTGCATGCCCAATTTGTGACCCTTTGAAAATAAAGTTCGTTCGTTCGTTCGTTCTTTGCTGGCTGCTAAAGGTAGGGACAGAGCGATTATTGGAATGTCCAGAGTACTATGATGTCTGGTCTTAACTCTTGAGTTATTCGTGGAGCTGTTTAATATTTTGTCGTGACATATTCCTAACAGGTTATCAAGGCCCATTCACAGCTGAGTCAGTATGAGAACAAGTTCAGATCTCGGTTGAAAGCCAAGAACCTGCTCTATGTGAGACAAATCTTGTTTGTCTTGTCCCATCTGGCAGAAATCATAGGGGGTAAGTTGGCTTGGGAAGTGTCTTGGCCGTCCTGTCTCTCTTAAGTCAAATACTGTCTTGAATGTACTTGAGTATCTTAGCTACATGTCTCATTAACTCATAGTTCTGTAGTCTCCACAATGAGCAGCTTCTAAATTGTTAGGCAGTCTGATGGAAATTGATAGAACTTTAACTCTTTAGTTTTCTATCCTTAGTCTCTGTGTTATCTAATATTGTCTTTCCATTCTACTGCTGCTACATTCACACAGTGCAGCTATCCATAATTCTATCAGCATCCACTCATGCCTTATTCATTCTATCCATCTACCACTCATTTATTTTGTCCATTCTTCATCACTCATTCTATTCATCAATTCCTTCCTCCTTTTCCATCTGTCAAGTGTAATCAATAGTATCTATTAAATATAAGCATACAATAAATAAATAGAGAGTGAATGGAGGCTGATTGATGGATGAGTGCACTGTGTGAATGTAGCAGCACTATAATAGAAAGACATTATTAGATAGAAGTCACAGAGACTAAAGATAGAAAAGAAGAAAAATGACATTTGTACATTTACAGTTTCAAATTTGTTTGTTTGCTTTTAATACACAGGCAGTGTTGAATTAATGGCGGACTCCCAGACTAACAGCAGAGAAGGTGAGATCGTCTATGGAATGATTGTAAGCCAGAGTAGCTGAACTTGGCAGCTCATGAATGAGTGAAGTTTGGTTAAATATTTCACAACATGACGAATCGTGTTCCCATTATGTACTCACCTGAATTAGAAATCCTACATGTCTGACTGATATGGTATATTCAGTATATGGTGTGTGCATCTTTCCCTTGGTTTTGGCCAGCTGTGATTCTCCTGCATTCTTCTCCTGGCTCCATAAGTTGAAGCAGAGGAAACCGTTTGGGCTCCCTTGAGGGAAAGGACCTGGTACTGCTTCTGCCAGGCATTGTTCCACAGGTTCAACATCACATCGATGATTCTCATTTTCTGTTATTAGCATTATAGGGAGGTATTGCATGGTGAAATAATGTTCATGTTCGGCTGGACACCTTTTTGGTCTGTTAGCGTCTTTCGCCCTTGCACCTTCGACTTTAGCAAGTTTTTCTGTTATGATGAGCTTCTTTAGATGGATTGCTGTCCCTAACTGGCGAGCTCCCTCTGCCTGGTGTAAATACAAGATGAGGCCGTCTGCCCCTATTTAGTCAGACACTCAGGGTCACAGTTTATATTATATGACAAGGTTGAATTGAGGATCAACAGCATAACACTCGGGACACTCCCATAAGTGCTCTGTCCTCATCTTCAGCAGCAGGCGAAGACTTCCATTTCTAAAAGCACCCTTAACTGTTTAATTGTTTATCCATCTTGCTTTTCCCTTGAGTGTTGAGCATCGGCCAGATTCCCCGGTAACTCATCGCACTGTCATTCTCCTCAGACCGTAATCATCTGTTTGTTACTCCGCACTGTTCAGCTCGCTTCCAAAGGGCCGTCACATCATCTAGCTTGTCATACATCAGTGCACGCAGAACTGGCCAGTCTATCTGCCTGCTTGTTTCCCAGTACACTGGAATAACCCTAGAGAAAATATCCAAAGGACACTAACTACTCTAGCCCACTGAAACGATGCTTGCCACTCTGCACGGAGCATGCCTGTCTGCACTTTATTTTAAAACAGCTCTGTGAGTTTGTTACAATTACGACATGTGTGTTATATGACAAGGTAGATATGGTCAAGGCCCTTTGTGAGCAGGTGGCCTGAGTGAGCAGATCATCATAGTCTGGAAAGAATCGGGCACCAGAACGTGACCAGGAGATCTGGCCAACACTGAGAGGAAAGACAAAATTAACATATAATCAGACTGCTCTTGGTACCATCAATATTTGAACTGCACTGGCTGGGAATAAAGGATTATGGGAATGTCCTGAGTGCCCTGATGTCAGTTCTCAACCCTAATGTCCTAAGAAGGCGAAATCTAGTAACCTTTGGTTGTGACAACCCTGTAAATGCTATATTACCATTTCTAGGGACCTGTTTTTATAAAGCATAGTTAAATGCTGTTGGTTCTGTGTAATGTAGCCTTTAGAGGGGTTTCTGGTAAATTCAATAGTTTTGTTTTTTAAAGCCAGGTTGACTTACAATTGCCCTGTAAGCCTCAGTGATAGAGGTCACAAGGTGACGGTTTGAGTTACTTGATACATGATTGTGTAGACCCTGTGAAATGCATTCCATTTAATGCTTCACTCTGTTCTTGTTTATCGATTACCTCTTTATGTATCTTTATATATTTCAAAACACATATTTAAAAACATTGGTGAATAAATATTTAAACAGTTTATTTGTTACCTGTGTTTTGTGAAGGATTTTTTTAAAAGATATATGCAATGTTCCTCCGTCTAGGTTTTATCTGGACTCATCAGAACTCTTTCTTCCCTTGTTGTAAAAAGTTAGTGAACACATCAGATGACAAACATGCTCATCAGCAGTTATAGATTTTATTAGGCGATCTAACAACTGTACTGTCCTGTCACTCTTCTGTGTTCTCGTCAATAATACATGAGCCCAGCTAGAAATACTGCTTCAGAAACATCAGAACTCGAATCTAGATGCATTTATCTTTCAGACAGTACATCTTGTTCATGCCGGCATCTTGCACTTGCAGTTCCACACAGCTGAATCTTGCAGTGGGTTGACATTCACTCACATTGACACCGCCATGTCTCTCAGCGTCCCAAACAACTCCTACGCATACGTAGTTAGGCAATCTGCATTCTTCACAGGCGTTCCTCTGCACTCGACCACTCACATACGTATCCAAACATCAACTGATTTTCTATCCTCTCTCGCCTTCAAACGTTCATTCCAATCTCATGCTTTCTGCTTACCATAATTCATAAAAACACAAAATACACTAAACACATCATTTACCTGCGTCCCTCACTTCTTATGGTTTTCTGTCCTTCTACGTTATCAGTGACGTTATCTGAGGTACCCTGGGTTTCATATCATTACAATATAAACACGGGTTCCTGACCCATTTTTTTTCCTAAGCATTCACGGCGAGAAAGAGTTAATAAAGCTCAACTCAGCCGAGTCTTCCAGGACTCAGAACCAACCAACTAATACTTCTTTGTTCCAATTTTATTTTGTTATCTGGGAAAAATTGATTTATAAATTGTATTTTCCTTCATCCACAGAAATCAATTTACTCACCATCAACAACTTTCTGTTCAGGTGTCGCCTGGACAACTTCAACATGTTTAAACTTTTACGCTACTGTCGACGGAGCCAAATCAGCAAAAAGGTGACCAGCCATCTACCTCCCACCTTCCCCCTCCCCCTTTCATCAGCATCTGAGGCAAACCAGCTCCAGTATTTCTTCTTTGTTAGTGGTTTTTGCTGGGTAATTTTACATTAAGCAGTTTGCCATTGCTTTCTTAAAAGTACAACATATATACCTTTGTTGAAATCAGTGCAAAGTGGTCTGCTATCAGATTGCCTGATTGCAATTCTTAGTTGTTGTTTTTGGTTTTCTTCATCTTCATGTTCACTAACTGTAAACTCCAGTGGGAAGTCCTGGCCATTCCTGGTCTTTGGTCTTGATCTAGAATCTGTGTTTTGCTTCAAATCCATTTCACGCATCTAGCTTAGTTTTTATGCAGACTGCTGGTTCCTTGCTCTTAGTCAGATGCACTCCGACTTAGAATGAACATCTCTGATTTGACTCTTGCAATAAGCTTGTTATAGGGGCCTTGGGTCTATATTTCCTTCCTGCAATAGATCCCCTGAAATACCCACACAGTCGCTCCTCTTCTACCATGGGGTGTAATACCCACACAGCCGCTCCTCTTCTACCATGGGGTGTAGAGGTAGCGACCTTCTAAAACGATTCCCAAAACCCACATAGGAAGTCGAGTTGATCATATGTAGTTTGATTTTCCATCTCAGGGTGTCTACAAGATAAGTGAACTAGCCAGACTGATGTTGACGTTTCTTAGTTGCCTCTTATGAAATGCATGGTATTTTACAGTGTTATTATATTTTGTCTCTGATTCTTTATACAAGTTATTTTACAATTATGTTTTGTCTCTAATTTTGCTGTAATGTTTTACAGTGTTTTGTTTTTTCTCTAATTCTGTTTTAATATTATTATAGTTTATCTTCTGTTTATTTATTAATATTCACTGTTATTTCCAGCTCCATGGTTTTGTAGACAAGTATCAGGAAACAGAAGTGAAAACAGGTCAGTGGGTAGACGTTTGTGTGGTCTGTAATTAGTCTCTAAAGACTCTTCCATCTCACTTCTGTCCTGTTCTGCCTTTTAGCGTCAGGTTTTAAAGAGGCATCGGGTACGAGTCTTGCTACTTGCTATATAGATGCTGATATTTATGGTCTTGGATATTCCATCTTTCCATTGCTTGCGTGGTCGACCTCTAGTTGCATCCATTATTTTAAAGTGACAGCTCTCTGTGTGGTGTACTATCTGGTGGTAGTTCCCTTTTTCATTCCATCTCACTTATTAAAACTAAAATATTCTTCTGCAGTGGCTGATACTTTTTGAACAGATTTATGGTTTCTGAGTGCCATGTTGGGGGAAACAAAGAATAGACCCTCAGCCCCTTAGCTGTAAATCATAAGGCAATGGGCCCGGGCCCTTGTATTGAATATAAACCACCTGTGTCAGGCTGCGCCACTTATACTGAAACTCGTTCTATTTTTTGTTTGTTCCCAAGGATCAAAACTGGACCCTCCATTGTCTGGTGTCAGCAGATTTCTGCAAACAATCCAATCGTCCAAAGGAAAACCACCTGCCCTGAAATCACCAACAGAAGGTAAGATTTAAACAGTTATGTAAGTTTGTAAATACAACCAAAGCTTCATTTAGGTAAATTAGCCTTATGACTGAACATTCTTACCAAGAAAGTCTTCATTGCAAAGTGGGCAAGCTGTTTGCCTTGTCCTGTAATGGTTTTTGGTTTGATTTCTGTCTCCATTCTTCTTTTGACCAGTCCAGTTGTTTAGAAGATCCCTGCTGGTTCTCATTGAGGCTATGGAGAGAGAGAGAGAGAGAGAGTAAATGAGAAATTTGTGTTTGGGTGGGGGGGGGGGGGGGGGGGTTACTCTCTTTGGGGGTAAACAGCCATTCTGCAGAGAGAGACAGCCAAATGGGGCAATAATTGTGAATATACTTCTTGTTGTAATCTCTCTACGCCATTTTCCTTCAGACTTGTTCTAAGAGTTATGAGTTAAAAACTGACATCACAGCATTCAGGATATTCCCCTAAGTGCTCCATCCCCATCTTTAGCAGCAGTTGCAGAGTAACAGTTCTCATGGTACACCAGTAACAGTATAATTGTATGTCTGTCCCTGAGTGTTGAGCGTCAGCCAGATCCTTGGTCACTTCTCATTGCACAATTCTCTTCAGACCTTGGTGATCTATTTGTGTTTCCGCACTGTTTACTAGCTCCCAAAGTTTCCTTACAACATCTAACTTGTCATGCATCATCTGCTACTGAGTGGTGTACAACCAGCCAGTTTATATGCTTGTTCATTTTCCCACTCACTGGCATAACCTGGAGAAAATAGCCAAAAGGACTTTAATTACCTAGGATCTCTGAAGGGATGCTTGCCACTCTGCATGGAGCATACCTGTCTTTACCTTTCTCAACAACGTCTCTGAGTCAGTTACAGTGGCTGCAGTGACCGCCTCCACCTCCATTCTCAAACTAGATGTTGTATCATATGCCAGGCGTTGTTGCACTGAGCAGCTATCATTTGCTGTACTGCAGTGGATTCCAGGTCACTGTGGCTTGGAAGGCAATGAAATAGCAGACAGTCTGGCCAGAAGCGGCAGTGGCATGGTACAACCAAATAGCGACTTAACTCACCATAAGACCAAAACATTAATACAATCTAGTATCCGAGAAAGGTGGCTGGATACACACACCAGATTCTCTCCTCAAGACTCGCTTCATCGCCTCTTTAGAGAGGGACAGTGTATTTATTCAGACTAAAGACAGGGCACTAGCGGCCGTGGCAGAGCGGCTAGATGCTCGCCACGGATCGGAAGGTCGTGGGTTCGCTCCCTGGCAGAGCCAGACTTTTTTTTTTAAATGACCTTGGCTCCCAGGTCGACCCAGACTTGAGTGGTTACCGGGTGCAGTCCCGGCAAGTAGAGGCGGCAGGCGTGATTCTGACCACATCACCCATCTTTTGCCGATTGGTCTAAAGGCATGGAAAAAGGTCCTGTACTTTTTACTTTACTAAAGACAGTGCTCCAACACTGTCAAATGTATGCTGACAGCAGAGACCCAATCTGGCCTGTTCCAACCACAATGAAGACAAAGCTGTATGGTACATGAGAGAATATGGACTGCATGATAGCTTTCACAAAGGCTACCGGCCTCCTGATATAAGTTTTCTGACAGAAGGATCGGAGAAAAAGAAGAATTTGCTTTCACTGTGAACGCTCATAAACCTTATTTTTGTCAATATGATTTCTGAAGAATGAAACATGACATCACACAGCCGACTGTGACTGTAAGACTGTTGTACCTATTTACCTGTGAAACATTTGTCAGTATGGTTTATGAAGAATGAAACTTGAGATCACACAGCCGACTGTGACTGTAAGACTGTTGTACCTATTCACCTGTGAAACATTTGTCAGTATGGTTTATGAAGAATGAAACTTGACATCACACAGCCGACTGTGACTGTAAGACTGTTGTACCTATTCACCCGTGAAACATTTGTCAGTATCATTTCTGAAAAATGAAACTTGGCATCACACAGCCGACTGTGACTGTAAGACTGTTGTACCTATTCACCTGTGAAACATTTGTCAGTATGATTTATGAAGAATGAAACTTGACATCAGACAGACCCGTCTGTGACTGTGAGACTGTTGTACCTATTCACCCATGAAACATTTGTGAGTATGATTTATGAAGAATGAAACTTGACATCAAACAGCCGACTGTGACTGTATGACTGTTGTACCTATTTACCCATGAAACATTTGTCAGTATGATTTATGGAGAATTAAACTTGACATCACACAGACCCGTCTGTGGGTGCCCAGTCAAAACCAGGCTACATGAGCTCTCCGTTGATGCAGATAGAAAGCTTCCTGGATGCACTGACCACTGCTGACCAGGATGGACGAGTGGTTGTCAACAGACAAGGTATGATAGTCATCTTCTTCACTTCCTCTTTTACCGCTTTAGGTGTCAAGAAAGTTGAGATTCTGCTTCTTGCTTTCTGGTTGCCTCGACCATAGACACTCTCACTGTTGTAGAGTTTCACTGATATCTCTTTCCATCTTGTTCTTGGTCTACATCGTTGGTTTTCATTAATCTCCTTTTTTTTAGAGGAGTGTATACTCTGTATGGTACAGCATGGCAAGGCATTCTCTTTAAGTGGGTAGACCATTTGATTTGCTGTCTGTGTATGTATTTCAGAATTGGTTCTGTGCCGATGTTTTCTCTTATGACTTCATTCCTGGTTTGATTTCCTCTGATCACTTCCTGCGGCCTTTCTCAGACGTCTCATTTACTACAACAACAGAGACATAATCCTGGATGCCAGGGCCCACATGTGACTCCCATAATTCTGGATGCCAGGGCCCATATGTGACTCCCATAATCCTGGATGCCAGGGCCCACATGTGACTCCCATAATCCTGGATGCCAGTGCCCACATGTGACTCCCATAATCCTGGATGCCAGTGCCCACATGTGACTGTTATTAGAAATGTCAGGAGCTCCTGGGTATTTACGGCTCAGGTCGGAGGGAGAACTGTTAAAGAAGACTGTGGTCCCTCGCCTTGACAACAAGCAGTTTGACTGTGGAGGTCATGGCAGCAACGAAAGCAGTAGCCTGGTTAGAAACAGACTTTCACCTGGGCATGCTTTCTCACCGACTGAATGAATATGCTCAAGAAGATCGAGAAGAGTTGCATACAAAGACAATGAGTTGAATCCCTGAATCAATCAAGGCCGACAAAAATTAGCTTCATATTTGTTCCGGGGCCATTCTGGTGTAAAGGGCAATAAAAGAGCTGACAGACTTGCGAGTGATGCTCAGTGGGAAATGTACTGAACGCCCTCAGAGAAGCAGCTTAATTAAACGAATCAAGTAATGATTGTGAATCTGCAACACTGATGAGACTACACGAACATAACATCAAAAAGGGGTGAAGCCAGACAAGAGCGCTACACAGGGGCCCAAAGAAGAATAGTAAACCAACACAGAAGTGGTGTCATAAGCCACTACACGTGAGGGAGATACTGAAAAGGGGATCTGAGCACTGATGGACTGAATGGTTCGATGTACGGTGATGACAATCTGTCGACTAACAAATCATACATATATCTCCATATATGAGATCTCTTTCTCTTCCCTTGCATACACCCTTCTAAGGGTGGTTGACACATTGTATTGTAGTTTACGGTTAAGCCGTGGTATCTACACGTTTCGTCCGGTAGATTCAGTTTCAACAAACCCTTAATTAAACTATCTTTACTGCCCGTATTTACCACTTTTGTGTTGTGGCACAGGCTGGTAGGTTAGGATTTCATTTTTACCCCTGACAAGAAAAACCACCTAGTTATTGTCATGTTTCATATCGCCAGTTATGAGTAAATCAAACTGAAGTATTGTTGTGTTTCATATCCCAGAGTCAGTCAGGTCTGAAGTTATTGTTATGTTTTTTATGTTCTCAGTTATGTTGAGTAAGTCAAACTGAAGTATTGTGTTTCATATCCCAGAGTCAGTCAGGTCTGAAGTTATTGTTATGTTTCATATCCCAGAATCAGTCAGGTCTGAAGTTATTGTTATGTTTTTTATGTTCTCAGTTATGTTAAGTTAGTCAGGTCTGAAGTATTGTTATTTTTCATGTCCCAGAATCAGTCAGAACTGAAGTTACTATTGTGTTATTTATGTTAACTAGTCAAGTCTAAAGTTACTGCTATGTTGCATGTCCCCAGTTATGTTAACTAGTCAAGTCTAAAGTTACTGCTATGTTGCATGTCCCCAGTTATTTTGAGTCACTCAAGCCTCAAATTCCTCATGCTGAACCCAGCTATTCACTTCATAAGTGTCCTGCAGGAAGCCAGAGCTGTTGTTGTCGCTGGAGGAACTATGCAGCCGGTATGTGCTTAACTAGTCCTTTTGTTTTAAAATAAAGGAATATTTGTTGTGTATGAATTACCCCATTACGGGCCACCAGATTTTGTGGAGGAGCGTGTTGGGGAGGATAGTAGCCTTACCCTGGACACTTTTTATTATCACGCAGGACTGACCATGTTTTTAGTCTTGGTTGGCAGCTGGTCTAGGAGGGAAATGGGAGGCAGACACAGTACTGCTGTTCTGATTCGGCAGCTTCTGCACAGGCTTTCTTCCAAGTGTATTGGTATTGCCTTACTTTTAGAGCTAACGATATAGGTCAAGTGAGGGATTAGGCTGCATGACGGGCAACACATGGTCTGTGCAATATAGCCCAGGATTTGTGCTGCTGAAAGGGGGAAACTTTGTCCCTAAAGCATAGTGGGACAGTATTCTTTGGTAAAGCAGAAAGGTGCCAACAACAACAAGCACTTTCTTCATGTATGTGTGTGGAAACATTTCCCCACATTCCAGTAAAACGTGAGGATAAGATGCGTTGTTTAGCCAGCCTGCAGTGTGGAAAGGGCTGTTCGTGGGGCACAGAAGCTTATGTGATGAATTTGATTGCTCTATTCTGTATTCCATTTGCTTATTTAAGTTGTGTGAGAGCTCACTCTGCAAGTGTGAATATATTAAATAAATGTCCAATTTCAATTTTGTAAATTAATTAATGTGTTTATTGAAAGACTTTCCTTCCCTTCACACTCTCCTCCCTTCACACTCTCCCCCCCCCTCCCCCCTTTTCCACCCTTCTCTGTCTGTCTCTTTCTAGCTTACTGTCTCTCACACACTTTCTTTTTTCTTATTTTGTCTCTTCCTTCATTCCCTCTGCCTATTTCCATTTCATTTTCCTACCCCATTCGTTCCTCTCTTTCACCTTATGTTTTCAAATGTCTTTGATTTAGAAGATATTCTCTCCTATTTATGATATTTGTAAGTTTTTTTTCTCTCACTAATTTCTTATAGTTGTAAACTGTATTTCTAATCTCTGCCTTGTATAATTTTCTATCTTGTTTCTGTCTTGTATGTTTACTCTCAGACCCATATTGCAGTATTCTCTAATCCCCACCAGGTGTCAGAGTTCAAAGAGCAGTTATTCCATGCTGCAGGCATATCCCCCGACAGAGTCCTAGAATTTTCTTGTGGTGAGTGCCAGTGACCTTTTTATCTTTAAGAAAACTTCTCACAGGGCACAACTTCAGTTGCTGGGGACAATCATTATTGTCCTCAAGACTTGACCAGATGAGCTAATATGTTGCCCTTCCCTACCTCAGTCTTTAGCCTTGATAGCGCAGTTAATATGAGGCTCGCTTTCAAATCCAGCTGCGATTTGCTGCAGCCACGGTCGGTGTTCAAAACCGGGCGGTTCCCGGGGTTCACCCAGCTTCTAGGGAATGGGTACCATAGCTTACACTCTGGGGTAAATGGAGGAACGTCGCTGTAGCTACGGAGTTACGTGTGGACGACGACACAGGCGGACAGTTTCTTATCAGCTGTCCGAACTGGTGGCAGAGCACTTATGGTTTATAACTGTGTGCAATGACGCTGATTCACATCTCCTGACTTTACCTTTACCTCAGTGGTTTAAAATCTGCGGACCCTCTTATTTTCCCATGCTCTTTAATTTTCAGACTGTAATGTTCCTCTTACAGTAGGTACCAAATTGTTTTCTAGCACTCACAGAATGCATAAGACAGGCTCTTTCAGATCAAGTCTCGCAGCTTCTTTACACAGCAGTCAACACCAGTCAGCTGTTGCACATTTAGTGATCATCAGACTTGGACAGCGGGAGACTGTCTCCCCATCACCATCTAACTACAAACTGCAGACTTCTGTTAGTCTAAACAATCAGCCTAACAACCATCTGACAGCCACTTACTTCATGTATACAGTTTCTGCTTGCACCTAATGCAATGCAGTCTGCATGGTGACGTGGTAAAGGCTCTGTGGGGTCAAATAGATGTTTTTACAAGGGAGCTGGAAACACCTGGAGTTGGTCGAATACTTGTCATTCGCAGATGATGTTCTCGCATATAGGCAGGGGAGAGATCGTAATCAAATAGCTCAAGAGTTACAGGCAACAGTAGACAAGGTGATTGACTGCTGTACAGAGAATAGTTCTGTAATCAACCCAAAAAGGGCAACCGTCCTGTGGTGCTCTTTTGACAACAGGATTGTTAGAGCTGATGTTCCAAGCCTCAAAATAAATGGCAGGGACATCAAGAGAGACAGCAGACTGCAGTACCTGGGAATCACCTTTGACAGACACTTGTTTTTTAACGATCACATAGAGGTTGTTGTGTAAAAGGCCCAAAAGACACTAAAGATTGTGGCAACAATGGACACGGAGCAAAGAATAATGTTCACACTTTATCAGCAATCATCTCAGTGATTGATAATGGACTGGGTTTGCTCACTGTCTTGAAGAGTCAGCTAGAGAAACTGGAGCACATACAGAATGAAGCAATGCGGGTGATCCTGGGATGTACAAGAGACACCTGGATTGTGTTCATGCGATACATCCTTGCATTGCTGACTATTGCAGATAGACTAAAGGGTGCTGCAAGATAAGTCATACCTCAGAGTAGCTGCAGATAAAGAGCACCCTCTGTATGAAGCTTTGGCTGCAGGTAAAGGACAGAGGCTGAAAAGGGGGAAATTGTGGATGGCTCAAGCAGAAGACACAATAAGGCAAGTATGCATGCTGGAGAAAATTGGGTGAGGAGAGGAGTGGGTCAGAGTATCAGAGGAAAAGTCTGACCTGTGTAGGGTTATGATCACATTGGGCCAGAAGTGCAGAGAGTGGCCAGCGAATGCTATGGAGGTGAAAGTTCAACAGTCGATTCACGACAGTTCACGCTCAGGTGCTCTGATTATCTATACAGATGGTTCGGTGTTGAGAGGAAAGAAAGAGAAGTACCTGGGGGTTCTTAGCGATAGCTAATGGAAAATCTTTAATGCAAGACAGCCTAGCATATGATACCACAACATCTAGTATGAGAATGGAGGTGGAGGCGGTAACTGCAGCTCTCTGGTAGCTAGAGAACCAGATGCATACACATGTTGTAACAGACTCTGAAAGCATGCTGAGGACAGTGAAGACAGGGATGCTTCGAGCAGAGTGGCAAGCTTCACTGGAAAGGTCACGGCTAGTGAGCATACTTTGCATCTTTTCTTCAGGTATGCCAGTGTGGTGGGGAATGAACACGCAGACAGATTGGCTGGATCTGCACCACTGGGTGGTGAATTAATACATGACAAGGCAGATGTGGTCAGAGCCCTTTGGGAACAAGCAACAGAATCAGTTAAGAAAGAAGATTATTATGGCCTGGAGAAAATGAGGCACCTGGGTGTTACCAGAGTGTCTGGCCGGCTCACTACACTCAGAGGATATATAACCAGATTGTGACCGGTACCATCAGTATTGGAACTCTGCGCTGGCTGTGCTGAAGATGAGGACGGAGCACGCATGGGAATTCTCCAAGTGCTGTCATGTCAAATCTTGACACAACTCAACTAAGCTTAACTTAACTCTTTGCTGGGTTCTGAGTCAGGTGAATGCACTTGTTTAATGTCTTAAGCTTGACTCATCCACAACTTGTCTTTTGTGACCTTCCTAATTAATTTTTGCATGTTCTCATTGAAACCTTGAACATTAACGTTAATCTATTTATCATCATTAGTTGCATTAAATAGCTTGTCATACTACTATGTGACCGACTATTCCTCTTATCATTATAGGTCATATAATTCCTGGTCACCAGATACTTCCAATGGCTGTCTCAAAAGGCCCAACAGGCATAACCCTGGATTTTACTTATCAGAACAGGGATAAAGTACATCTGGTGAGTTGTGTGTTGTCCTTCATTTACAACCGTTTGTACGGAAATAATAAATACCTCCCTCTCCCCAAGCCTGAGCACAATTTTTCAGAATATTGTCCCCGGCAAGTTCCTATTCACAATATTCTGGCCCCTGAGTAAACGTTGTTGAATAGCCTTGTTGTAGAACCTTTGGCCACAGTCTCTCATTCTAGCTGACAACCTTAACCAGGGCTTAATTTTGGGTAGGGCTTATGTTTGAAATTGTATAATACAGTAAAACAGGCAGTAATCCGCGGGCCACTTGCTATATAGAGGCTCTGTCTGTTTCTGTTTTTCTCTCTCTCTCTCTGTCTATATGTGTGTGTGTCCCTAGCTCTGTGTGTGTTTCTCTGTTCCCATCTCTCTATGTGTCTCTCTTCTCGGTGTATCTCTGTCACTCTCTCTGTCTATCTCTCTTCTCACTATTTCTTGTCACAGTCTCCGACTCCATTTATTTCTCTAAGTCTCTCTTCTCTGTGTCTCTCTCTTGCCTCTATGACTTTCTCTCTTCTCTCTCTCTGTCACTGTCTCTGTCTCTCTCTCTTCTCTCTATCTCTGTCACTATTTGTCTGGTACAATATTTTTTACGTACCCCAAACACGAAAATCCGTGGGAATTCCACAGCTGACTGGACAGTCCGCTATTTGAAGGGGTGCAAGTGTGCTGTTGCTGTCGTTTCTCTTCTAGTGTTTTTTTGTGTGTGACATATATCTATCTGTCTGTTCGTGCGCAGTCGGCTGCTTGTTGATGCCATTTGCCTCGTGTACAATACTCTTCATGTTTTTATATCATGTTGTCATGTGAATGCGTAGCGTAGTCGATATAATATCGGCCTTATAATTTAAAGGTGCTGCATTCAGTCCCTACATGCTTTTTGGTGGAGGGGGGGAATTGTTTTATTTTTTATTTAATTATAAATTGTGTTTTTAGCTATCCTCCGAATAACAGTCCCAAATTATCTAGGCCGAAAATATACCCTAACAGGGCCTCAGTCACATGTAAAATGCGGACTTCTTTCCGGCAAATATACTGCCACCGCCGAGAGTATCTCCCGCTAAACTAGATAGCTGGGACTCACGAGCAAATAAAATGGAGGAAGCTGCAGGAGATGTGGTAGCAGCTTCTCGTGAGTTCCAGCCATCTAGTTTAGCTCCCATCTTTGTCTCCATGTATGTGTGTGTTTCCCATCTCTCTCTCTCTGTCTTTGTCTCCATCTCTCTAACTCTGTCACTGTCTCTCTCTCTCTTTGTCTCCATCTCTCTAACTCTGTCACTGTCTCTCTCTCTCTCTCTGTCTCCATCTCTCTATCTCTGTCACTGTCTCTCTCTCTCTTTGTCTCCATCTCTCTAACTCTGTCACTGTCTCTCTCTCTCTCTTTGTCTCCATCTCTCTATCTCTGTCACTGTCTCTCTCTCTCTCTTTGTCTCCATCTCTCTAACTCTGTCACTGTCTCTCTCTCTCTCTTTGTCTCCATCTCTCTAACTCTGTCACTGTCTCTCTCTCTCTTTGTCTCCATCTCTCTAACTCTGTCACTGTCTCTCTCTCTCTCTTTGTCTCCATCTCTCTATCTCTGTCACTGTCTCTCTCTCTCTTTGTCTCCATCTCTCTAACTCTGTCACTGTCTCTCTCTCTCTCTTTGTCTCCATCTCTCTAACTCTGTCACTGTCTCTCTCTCTCTCTTTGTCTCCATCTCTCTAACTCTGTCACTGTCTCTCTCTCTCTTTGTCTCCATCTCTCTAACTCTGTCACTGTCTCTCTCTCTCTTTGTCTCCATCTCTCTAACTCTGTCACTGTCTCTCTCTCTCTCTTTGTCTCCATCTCTCTAACTCTGTCACTGTCTCTCTCTCTCTCTCTTTGTCTCCATCTCTCTAACTCTGTCACTGTCTCTCTCTCTCTCTTTGTCTCCATCTCTCTAACTCTGTCACTGTCTCTCTCTCTCTCTTTGTCTCCATCTCTCTAACTCTGTCACTGTCTCTCTCTCTCTCTTTGTCTCCATCTCTCTAACTCTGTCACTGTCTCTCTCTCTCTCTTTGTCTCCATCTCTCTAACTCTGTCACTGTCTCTCTCTCTCTTTGTCTCCATCTCTCTAACTCTGTCACTGTCTCTCTCTCTCTTTGTCTCCATCTCTCTAACTCTGTCACTGTCTCTCTCTCTCTCTGTCTCCATCTCTCTAACTCTGTCACTCTCTCTCTCTCTCTGTCTCCATCTCTCTAACTCTGTCACTGTCTCTCTCTCTCTGTCTCTGTCTCTCTAACTCTGTCACTCTCTCTCTCTCTCTCTGTCTCTGTCTCTCTCTCTCTCTTTCTCTCTCTCTCTCTCTGTCTCCATCTCTCTCTGTGTCTCTCTTCTCTCTCTATATCTGTCACTCTCTGTCTCCATCGTTCTCTGTCTCCATCGTTCTCTGTCTCGTTTATCTCTTCATCTGTCACTATCTCCATCTCTTTTTGTCTCTCTTATTTCTTTATCTGTCCCAATCAAAAGAAATGCATTTTTTTAGCATTTCTAGTCAGTAATTATAATTAAATAGACATCAAATCATTCACATCCCTACATTTTAATCCACAATTTGGCTTACATGCTTATCATTGTTCTCAACATATTATCAAATATAATTTCTTTTTAAGAAAACGGCACTGTGAGCTTGTAGATTTTCTTGTAGAGAATACTGCAGAGGTGAGAGATCATATTTATATTTTGAGAATGGAAAAACAATAAAATTCAACTTCTAACACTTGAGACCTTTGCTTCCTCAACATAGCCACACCAGCCTTCTTTAGCCTATCTTTGTTTTTTTCAGCAGCAGTAAGACCGAACAGGTCTACGGAAATTCCCGTTTTGTTAGGCCGGTCCACCGCCGGTCTGTGCTCACCATTGTTATCAAGTCAATTTATGCACAAATTAAACTACAATTTAAATAATTTGCAACATATTTTATTGAATGAATTATCATTATGAAAAAAAAAAAGGTAGCCATTAGAAAATAGTCAGCCTAAAATGGGTACCAAGATATATGTCCTGGGGAAGTCAAGACGGCCGGCGTAATGCTGACCACATTACCCACCTAGTGCCGATCAGTCTGTGGGTGCTCTTCCTATATGCCTGATGCGCCTAAAGGTGGGAAAAGAGGTCTATACTTGACTATTAGAAAATAGAATAATAATAAAATATGCTGCAAGCTATTTAAATTGTAGTTTGTGTATAAATTTACTCAATAACAATGGTGAGCTCAGACCAGCCTTGACCCAGCCTGAAAAAACGGGAATTTCCGTAGGCCTGTTTGGCCTTACTGCTGATGCTAGCCATTGTTTTGATAGTGCAGATCATAGATTGGGCCATGTCCAAATGCTTGGCCAGATCAGAAACAAGAACACAATTGGTATGTTTACTTAATATTTCATTCTTCATTTCTACTGAAATACGCTAGGCTTCTTTATATTGTATGTATATGTGTGTGTGTGTATATATATATATATAAATATATAAATGAAAACAGACATTGCATTAATCGGCACTCATAGAAAAAAGTAGAAAGATACAAGGATACACTAGACAACATAAAAATCTAAAGCTTTAATTACGTGCCAGGAATCTGTCCTGCCATCTCTAAATGGCATGTGCACCTCACTGTGGAAACAATTGTACCTCACTGTGGAAACAAGTGTACTTAGAACATGACCAGCAAGGCACCCCTAAAAAGGTGTTTTCATTGGCATTATCTGTTGCAATTTGAAATCCACAACTGTGGAAAACGGACAGAATTCATCTCAAACCATTTAAATGGCACCATAGGTGACAGATATTTTTTATTAACCAAGCAAATGTTGAATAACAAACACAACAACAATTACAAACCCATCGGACCGTAACGCTGTGTGTAGAATACAGCAAATATGGAAAAAAAGAGATTTGATTGCTTAGTTCTATTTGTATTACATGTAGATCACATAAATAATCATAGGAGGGAACCCTTGGGGCCGTATAAATATTTTATAAAATGAACAAACAATGTATTAATTGGCACTCATAAAAAGAAGTGGAAAGATTAAAGGACACACTAGGCTTCTTAATACCACTGTCACTGACACTTTTCACTTTCTTTGTTAATGAAATACAGAAAAAGAGGGGAGAAAGAAGCGGGGGGAGGGTTTATTTGTATCAAGAACAATACAGTGACAAACAGTGGGTACAGCGCGATACCGACGCTTTCCAAAAACCAAAAACATGGCACCAAAGCCATGTTTGTGCTTTTCTGTTCCGAGTTGATCGGAAACTGTGTTCGTGGACCGATTTATTCATGACTAGGGGTGTTCGTGAGCCAAGGACAACGGAACAAAAAACCTAGCCTAGAATTCTAAAATTTCCGGTCGTATCATGTTTTTAATGTAAACAGCGGTGATTATTTGTTAGTTACTGTCTTGGTGGTGTACATTGTTAAAAAACAATCATCATTATCGTGTTCCCTGCTAGACAATGTTGATATTAACCTATTTTCACATGTGTCACTCTGTTATGGATCAATTAGTTCTGTTGATAGTATTCCTATATGCCATCACCTAAGACTATCTGTGGATCAGTTAGTTCTGTTGATAGTATTCATATATGCCTTTACCTTAGACCATTTGTGGATCAGTTAGTTCTGTTGATAGTATTCCTATATGCCATAACCTTAGACCATCTGTGGAATAGTAAGTTCTGTTGATAGTATTCCTATATGCCATCACCTTAGACCATCTGTGGATCAGTTAGTTCTGTTGACAGTATTCCTATATGCCATCACCTTAGACCATCTGGCATCATTTTGTTCGGTCTGCCCTTTCTACCCATCTATCCAGTCAGAACGATGTTCTTTAATTGTCTCTTTGATTTAGTTATTTGTAATGTTCTGCTTTCCTAAATGTCTCTCAGGCCTTAGTTACCTATGACTGAGCTACAGTGCAACAGTAGTCAGTGTTCTGCAGCATATACCAAACCTGACATGCTCA